CCCTGACTGGAAATTGAACCCACAACCTTTTGGTGTACCGGCCAGGGCTAATCTTTCTCTTGGTCTTGACACAAGTGTTTAACCTAGTTGGTCTCTGGCAAAAGAAAGTACAATGTTTATTGGCCCAGATAAGGATTAAATCAGTGAATGTAGTCTAATTAGAATTTCCTTAAACTGACCTCACTAGTTATAGAAAGTTAATTAAGTGTTGGTGAATCACAAGTTCTTTGCTTTGATTTTTTTTCCCTAATAAAAATGCTCTGTGCCCTGACTGGTGTGGCTCAGTGGATTGAGTGTTGGCCTGCAAACCAAAAAGGTCACCAGTTTGATTCCCAGTTGAGGCACATGCCTGGGTTGTAGGCGGGGTCCCGGTAGGGGGTGCAAAAGAGGCAGCCAACTGATGTTTTTTCTCAAACGTCTATTTCAGAAGAAAAAAAATGCCCTAAAATCATCGACTTTTCTTTAAACAGAAGGAAATATGCCATATATTTTATGTAATTAACACTAAATATACAATATGACATTTTATCAAATCTAGGGTACAATTGATTGGAAGATATATTTTCTTTTATACCACTAAGCGAAAAACCATGATTTGTATCAATTACAAGGCGTTTCTGTTTCAGATATGTTAAAATGTGACAAATATGCATCTAGAATTTAAGAAATAAAATAGCAGGTTTAGTTTTTAGTGAAATTTTTGTATTGGTGTGGAGACTATTTTATTATATTGGCTAGCTTTATGACTCCTTTTTATAAATCCCCAAATTCTTAATTTAATCTCACCTGCAATAGTCCTTTTTTTTTTTTTTAACCAAATAAGGTATCATCCACAGGTTCCAAGGATTTGTATGTGGATATTTTGGGGGGAGGCTGAATATGAGTAAATAGAAAAAAGAAAACAGTTTTCTTAAACTAGAATTATGGTAATGGGTTGGAGAAGAGGTATGAAGAGGTACGAAGACCTAAATAAAACTAAACAGAAGCAAGAACACCAAAAAACAAAGTATTCTCTAATGTTTCCAGTATTGGAAAGTCAGTGAGATAAATGGAAAATGAAAGAAAACTTCTTTGTAATTCCAGCCAACTTTTTATTTCATTTCTTTTGTCAGACTGGGCTACATGTAGCAATGAGTATGATAACAGTTTTTTAGTTTTTTAAGTATATTTTATTGATTGTGTTGTTACAGTTGTCCCATGTTTTTTCTCCCCTTTCTCCCCCTCTGCCCTGCATCCCCCCATCCCTCCAGCATCCCCTCCCCTCCACCTTAGTTCATGCTCATAGGTCGTGCATGTAAGTTCTTTGGCTGCTTCAATTCCTATACTATTCTTAACCTACTCCATTCTCCCCGCTCCACCTTCCCACTGGTAACCCTCCATGTGATCTCCATTTCTGTGATTCTGTTCCCATTCTAGTTTGCTTAGTTTGTGTTTGTGTTTTTTAGGTCCAGTTGTTTATAGTTTTGAGTTTGTCATTTTACTGTTAATATTTTTTGTATTCTGTTACATTCAAATTTATTGAGACAAAGTGCACTTTTTTTTTAAGACTTTACTTATTTATCTTTAGAGGGGAAGGGAAGGAGAGAGGGAGAGAAATATCAATGTATGGTTGCCTCTTGTGTGTCCCCTGCTGGGAACGGGCTTGCAAACCAGGCATGTGCCCTGCCTGGGAATTGAACCGCAATTCTTTAGTTCTCAGGTCGACGTTCAATCCACTGAGCTACACCAGCCAGGGCTACTGTTAATATTTTTTTAATGATTTTATTTATTTATTTTTACAGAGAGGGGAAGGGAAGAAGAAAGAGAGGGAGAGAAACATCAATGTGTTGTTGTCTCTCACATGCCCCAGACTGGGGACAGGGCCTGCAAGCCAGGCATGTGCCCTGACTGGGAACTGAACCAGGGACCCTTCGGTTTGCAGGCCCATACTCAATCCACTGAGCTGTATCAGCCAGGGCCACTGTTCATATTTTTTATCTTTTTTTCTTAAATGTCCCTTTAGCATTTCATATAATAAGGGCTTGGTAGTAATGAACTCCTTTAGCTTTACCTTCTCTGGGAAGCACTTTATCTGCTTTTCCATTCTAAATGATAGCTTTGCTGTATAGAGTAATCTCGGTTGTAGGTCCTTGCTTTTCATGACTTTGAATACTTTCTAGCCCTTCTTGCCTGTAAGGTTTCTTTTGAGAAATCAGCTGATAGTCTAATGGGAACTGCTTTGTAAGTAACTCTCTTTTGCTCTTGCTGACTTTAAGATTCTCTCCTTATCCTTAATTTTGGGTAATTTAATTATGATGTGTCTTGGTGTGTTTCTCCTTAGATCCAGCCTCTTTGGGGACTCTTAACTTCTTTGGCTTAATATGTCTATTTCCTTCTCCAGCATGGGGAAGTTTTCCTTCATTATTTTTTCAAATAAGTTTTCAATTTCTTTCTCTTCCTCTTCTCCTTCTGGCACCCCTATGATTCAGATGCTGGAACATTTAAAGGTGTCCCAGAGGTTTCTAGGCCTCCTCATTGTGTTGAATTATCGTTTCCTCAATCTGTTCTGGTTGAAAGTTTCTTTCTTTCTTTTGTTCCATGTCATTGAGTTCCAGTTTCTTTCCCTTCACTATTGGTTCCCTGTATATTATTTCACTTTGTATAGCCTTCACTTCTTCCTTTATTTTGCAACTATACTCAATGATTTCTGTGAGCATCCCGATTACCAGTGTTTAGAACTCTGCATCTGATAGGTTGGCTGTCTCGTTGTTTAGTTCTTTTTCTGGAGTTTTTATTTTTATTTTTCCATTTGGGCCATATTTTTTTTGTCTCAGCACACCCATTACATTATAAGGGGTGGAGCCTTAGGTATTTCCCCAGGTGGGGCAACCCACGTTGCTGCTGTATTGTGAAACTGTATGTGGGGGAGGGGTCGGAGAGGGAAAAATGCTGCTTGTTTAGCTGTCACTGCGTTTAGTCAGTTACCCCGCTTCCCACAAGGGGATTGTGCTCTTTCAGGTGCTGCTCTGGTGTTGATTCCCAGGTGGGTGGACTTGTGTATGTTCTAGGATCCTATGGGTCCTAGACCCTAGAGAACCCCTCAATGGGTTCTCTGTGAGACTGGGAGTTTCTCCTGCTGTCACAGCCCTACGGGTTTTTACAGCCAGAGGTTTTGAGGCTTCAGTTTCCCAAGCTGAAACCCTGGGTTGCATGGTATATCTTGCTCCCCAGTTGTTTCTCCTGGCTCACCCACACATGAATGTGGGATCACCCGGTCCTCCAGCCACTGCCTCACCTGCTCAGTCTGCCAGCCACTGCCTTGCTTCACGTTGTCTCTGTCTGGCTGCCCATCTCCATTTCTCCTTCCAGTCTGGATGAATGTTTCTTTAACTCCTTGGTTGTCAGACTTCCATGCAGTTCAATTTTCTGGTAGTTCTGGTTGTTTTTTGTTTTTAAGTTGGTTCTTGTCCTTCTTTTGGTTATGCAAAGAAGTGAAGCATATGTACCTACAGTTCCATGTTGGCCTGATCCAATACCAGTTTTATGTACATCATTTTTAAATGGGGAGGGTGGAGGTGGACAAAGGGGAAAAAAATGAGACAGCTATAATAGCAAGAAACAGTAAAATGCAAAACCCCCCCACAAACTTTGCAATAAAAAAATAATACTGATAGAAATTTAACTTAAACTTGTTAAAGTTATCAGTAAAATTTATATTAAATCCATCATAATGTCATGCAAATTAAAGTGATTAATTTCTCCTGTGTCTCTTAAGTTTAACTTTATGTAATGGTATTTATCTTTTAAAGCATCTACTCAGTCTAGGACCAATAGTGCAAAACATGAAATAGAATGTTACTTTTTTCATTACTAATAAGATTAACTTTATTTAATGAAAAACTTAAAATTAATTTTTTAATAAGTTACAAGATTTCTGTTTAAAGAAGGCTTTTAGCCTATTTATAAAAGTAATATGTGCATATTTTGGACAATTGAGAGAATAAAAGGAATATATAAAAAAGAAGATCCATTGCTATTCATTTTGTTTCATTTCCTATAAGCAATTTATATATACATTTTAAAAAATATAATTGTGCTCATAGAATATAAACTGTTTTGTTGCCAGTATTTTTTCCATTTACTTTGTAAATGAAATTTGAAATGCTAATAACCAGGTGAGATCGTCAGTATGAGTTCTGGGTTTTACAGCTGGAGTAATTGAAGCAGGCTAGTTAATTAGACTTTAAATATTTTATATCTTTGAAGCTGGCTGAGACTTATTTTCTCTTTTAGTGTATTTGATTCTTTTGTAAGTCTCAAAATTACCCAACCATGTTAGAATGCTTATTTGTTTAAAGGGGAATGACAATGAATGAAATTTAAGATTATAAGTGGAAGAGTCTTTTCATAGACAAGTAAATGTAAGTACTAAATAGGAGACCACATCCAATTATTCTAATATGCTGAAGCTTAGAGAATAAGATGTGAAATTTAATTCAGATCACAGTAGTTATTGAGTGCTATATATTAGGATTTTTTAGCACTTATGTGTAATATATTTAACTGTATTTAATAGTTTCATTGTATATGCCCAAATTAAAATAACGAATAGTTACAATTTTTGGTTTTTTAAAATTATTTTTCTTGTTCTTAAACATAGGTATTTCTTTAATTTTAGAGAATTTGAACTTTAATGAGCTGTCTTCTTGAAAAATAGTTTACTTTAGGTGTGAAACTAATGAATCAATCATAGTTAACACATTGACTTATACAAAGCAAAGTATAGTTGAATGGTATAGAACAAAAACTAGTTAAGATGGTAATATACCCAAAGTATCTGCTGTAGAATATGTATGTAGATTAAATGAACTACATTTATTTTTTAGATTTTAGTTTTATTTTTTAGATTTAAGATTCTTTTGTTACTTTAGTTTTTTGTGTTGTTTTACTATCTGGGAGAAGGGTAAAAATAATATAAAAGCCCACAGAATTTTCATTAAGGTATTGTTTTCTTTTTCTAGCTTAAAGCAATAAATGTAGATCTTCAAAGTGATGCTGCTCTGCAGGTGGACATTTCTGATGCTCTTAGTGAGAGAGATAAAGTCAAATTCACTGTTCACACAAAGGTAAATGTGATTCTATACTTGTATTATTTTAGCTCTTTATTATGCTAATGTTACATATGTAATAACATTGATTGGAAGTTCAGTTTTGAACATAATTAGAAAGTTGTGGGGGGTTTTGGATGGATAGTTTTTACTTGTCATGATTCCAATATTCAAAACACTATATGTATAATTAAGAGAAAGAACTCAAAGGCATACAGACAGAAATTTCCCAATGCTGATTACTGAGCCCCAGCGACAGCTAACAATGACCGAGCACCTGCTGCATGAGTTCTTTGCCTGCATTACATGTCACTAATTCTCATAACAACTCTAAGACACAAACATTGTTATTATCTCATTTTACTTAGCATAAAAGGTATTGAAGCTTACAGCATTTAACTAATGTTACTCTAAAACAAAGCTGGAGCACCTGTGCTGGGTTTTTGTTTCATTCATTCATTCATTCATTCACTCACTCACTCATTCATTCATTCATTCATTCAAATTGTTGTTCAAGTACAGTTTTCTGTCTTTTACTCCCATCCCAGCCCCAAGTGCTTCCCACCTCTCTCCCACGTCCACCCCCCTTAGTTGTTGTCCATGTGCCCTTTATACTTGTTCCTGTAAATCCTTCCCCTTTTCCCCTGAAATTCTCTCCCCTCTCCCCTCTGGTCACTGTCAGCCTGTTCTCTATTTCAGTGTCTTTGGTTATATTTTGCTTGCTTGTTGTTTTGTTGTTTAGGTTCCTGTTAAAGGTGAGATCATATGGTGTTTGTCTTTCACCACCTGGCTTATTTCATTTAGCATAATGCTTTCCAGTTCTACCCATGTTTTTGCAGAGGGTAAGGAGCTCCTTCTTTCTGCTGCATAGAATTCCATTATGTAAATATACCATAGTTTTTGGATCCATTCATTTACTGATGAGCACCTAGGTTGCTTCCAACTCTTGGCAGAAAGAAGTTTTTTTTTAGTTTATAACTCATTGCTGCTATTTTAACAAAAAGAGTGTTAGGGAAATGTACTTTTTAAAGATTTTAACATTAAGAATGAATCATAAAAAAAGGATGAAATCTTACCATATGCAACAGCATGGATGGACCTAGAGGATATTATGCTAAGTCAAGTAAGTCCATCAGAGAAGGACAAGTACCATGTGATTTCATTCATATGTGTAATCTAAAGAATAAAGTAAACAAGCAAAATTGAAAGAGAATCCTAGACAAAGAACAGACTGATGGTTGCCAGAAGGGAAGGGGGTTGAAGGACTGGGGGAAAAGGTGAAGGGATTGCAGAGTACAAATTGGTGGTTACAGAATAGTTACAGGATGTAAAGTACAGCATAGGGAATATAGCCAATAATATTGTAGTAACTATGTGTAGTGCCAGGTGGGCACTGGAAATATTGGGGAGGGACACTATAAAGACTATGATTGTCTAATCATATGCTGTACACTAGAAGCTGATACAAAATAATACTGAGTGAAACAGTACTTGAAAAATAAACAACAAAACAAATAAGCAAAATACAACCAAAGACACTGAAATTGAGAACAGGCTGACAGTGACCAGAAGGAAAAGGGGAGGGAATTTCAGGGGAAAGATGTACAGGAACAAGTATAGAGGACACATGGACAAAAACAAGTGGGGGTGGAAATGGGAGGGAGGTGGGGAGCACTGTGGGGGGTGAGCTGGGATGGGAGTAAAAGACAGAAAACTGTACTTAAACAACAATTAAAATAAATTTTTTTCAAAAGAAGAAAACTAGACACGAAGTGTCTACTGTATGCTAGGAATATTTAGTGCACAGCACTAGCAAAATGCGCTATATACATTGCACGAGTAGTCAAAACTTAAGGGACTTACTGCAATAAGCAGACATACACACTTATGAAATGCTGCCTTTTTTCTCCCTAAAGTGCTACAACATTTCTAAGATGTTTAACTGAGTTGCAACTTTGCATTGTATTTAATACATTTAGGAATTGCTGAGGAGTTTTTCTCTTGGGATTTCAAACACTTTACCTCTTTTTCAACATTATGTATACAAATTGTGTTTGTGGAAAAACTAAAACATACATGTCTATATATCTAATTAGAATTGTTTTAGTTTCCCCGAGTATTAAACTCGTGTGACTTACAACATGAGTAGTTGAAAGAAACAAAACAATAGCAGCACTTGCATAGAGATGGAGCTTGGAGTAAAATTCTAAGTGTTTGAATATGTTGCTACAGCACGTATTGTGCTAATAAACTTTCTGCTGTAAGGAAACAGGTCTTTGTTCTCACTAACGTTTACTAGAGTCTGTGATGGTTAAAGGGTCGACATGATGTTTTCTGCACCAGTCTGTACTTCCTGTGAAAAGGTGTGTTCTTCTGCACATGGTATATTCACTTCCCTTCTTTTGGCAGCTGATTGTGAAGAGGGAGAAGATATGTAAAGATATTACTATAGGTGAGGAGTCATCAAATTAGGGTCCTCAGGCCAAATCTAGCTGCCTTCTGTTTTTGTAAATAAAGTTTTAGTGGAACACACATGTATAATACAGATTTAATTTTCTTTAGACTTTTATTAATATATTTTATCACAGTTTTCAATTTTGTTGTGTTCCTTCAGTTAATCAAATTACTGTCTTACAAACTGTTTTCATTTTAGATTTCAGCTTTCAGGCACATTTTCAGGTTGTAGATCTATTTTCCTTTGTTTGAATAGTTGAGTTCGGTATATAGTAATAGAATAACATTTAAGTAATGATGAAATGTTTATTAAAAGCTTTGTAGTATAATTTTAATTTTTATTCACAAGAACTTCTATCTTCGCAGAGTTCATTGCCAAATTTTAAACAAAATGAGTTTTCTGTTGTTCGACAACATGAGGAATTTATCTGGCTTCATGATTCCTTCGTTGAAAACGAAGACTATGCTGGTTACATTGTAAGTGTTAAGGTTGTTTTAATCCCATTTTTAGGTACTTTATAGATATTTCATGTTGAAATCTTGTTTAGCATTTTTAATGAACTAGTGTTCAAGGCAATTCAAAAATTGCCAGTTATTGAGACATAATTGGCTACCACATTTAATCTCGAATTGCCTTGTTTGGAGGTGTGAAGTGTGGATATGTTATGCTCCCTCCTTTAAATTTAAATTCTTACTGTGTATTAGAGTTGTAACAGGTTTATCTTAGGAGTTAAAGGGTTGTTACAAACCACACTGGATTTGAGCCCTCAGATAGGTAGATTACATTGAGAGGTGGAGGGCTGTTTAAGAGGTTATTTCATTTAAATATGTACCAGATGTTGTGCCTCAGCTATCATCCCAGCTGCTGACCACATTTGGATTTCATTGAAATCATCCTGACCTGATTCCATCTCCATCCTGTGGCCACTCCTTCTCAGTCATTTGCTTCTCTTTCTGCAAATGGTGGACAATTGGTAGTGCATTTTCATTTTCATACAATTACTAGTTTATATAAAGGATAAAAGTCTTTAAGAACAACCAGTGGAAGAGTGCATAGGACAAGGTGTGGGAAGGGGGCAGGGCACAGAGCTGTCAGGCCCTCGTCAAGGCCCGTCCCTCCCCTTCCCAGCATGTCAGTTGTGTTCGCCAACCTAGAAACTCCTTGTTCTCTTCCTGTGTTATCCCCACCTTTTTTTCCTCATCTTCTTGACTGGTGGCATTTTGTTACTACTTACTCCTTCTATACACTAAACACTCTACAAAGATAATAAAGACCATGTCTTAATTATCTTTATATGCTCTTTGCTCAGTCAGCATCATGCCTGGCTCATAAAAGATGCCATGTGCAGGCCTCAACAGTGTGTGCCAGACTATCTTGATGCTTGTTTCCTTGTTGTTTTACTTGGTATAACCCTTTTCTAACAGTCATTTTTATTTAACCTTTTACCTGCTTAACTCTTCTTCTTTTCTTACCTGCTGTCTTTAATTTTCACCATTTCCCCTTAGAAGTTCCCCCTTTGTAGGCCCTTGCTCCTAAGTTAACTTTTTTCTTATAGCCTTTCTTGAATAATATTTCTCTTATGGACTTTTTTTAAGGTAAGTGCTTATTTATTCCCTTACTGTGGGTGAATAGAATGAAATAAGTAATCCGTGTCTTGTTCTTTTCCTGTTTTTAAGCCAGTGCTTTCTGCTTCTGGTACACTCCTCCAATCCAGGAACCCTTTTAACATACCTTGTTTCATCTTATTGTTAGCACTCATTAATTAAAAATAATAATAAAACACAGAGTAGCATGAAGGTACTATGAATTCATTAATTTAAAAAATACATTTGTGCCCTGGCTGGTATGGCTCAGTGGGTTGAGTACTGGCCTGTGAACTGAAAGGTTGCCAGTTTGATTCCCAGTGAGGGCATATGCCTGATTTGTGGGCCAGGTCTCTGTTTGGGGGCATGTTGGGGCAACTTCTTTCTTGAGGTCCCCCCGGTGCCACGGACACATGTGAGTGAATAAATACAGCCGAGAGGAGATGAGATCTTTTGGGGGATGGAGGAGTGGGCTGTGGCCAGTTTCTCTGGGTAGAAAGAGGCCAGCAGCGGCCAGTTTCTCCGAGGAGAAAAAGGCCCCGAGCGCCCTCTTCCATAGCCTTTTATTGGGTTGTAATACACAGGAATACAGGGCGGCAAGGATCAAACAGTAGATAACATTTCAAAGAGGTCTGAGGGTTTCAGTCTGAGTGAGTGTCTGTCAGGAAGAGAGTTGCAGAAACTTTGGGAGACATACTCATTTCCTCTTGGACCTTTATCATATGATGAATGAAAGCATTCTTAGCAGAGCAGATTTCACAGGTTTATCAGCAAGTCTTCGTGATGCCAGATTTTTCCCCAGGGCACGCTCTGGCCAGGCTAGGAGCTGCACCTCTCCCCAGCAGGTATTCAGGCTTAAGGGGATTAGAGCCAGGAAGCACTTCTCCCAGAGAACATGGGGATTCAGGCTTTGACAAAGCTGGTGGGGGGGGGGTGAGAGTCCATTGCTCTCTGTTGCAGCCCCCTGAGTCCTTCCATGAAGGCCTCCCAGGTGATCGAGTCTGGCTTAGGTTGCCCCCCACCCCCGCCCCGCTGTGAGGGGTCTTACCGGTCGTTGACTTCTGACCAACCTCTGTTGCTACCTGAGACAGGCTTTGTCTCCCATGGCTGGCATTCCAGAGATCATCTCTTGCCCTTAGCTACAAGGGGTAGAGATACAATTCTTAAAACTAGACAGAGCAATCTACAACAGGGGCATTCGAGAAGCAGCCAATTAATGTATCTTTCATACATCGATGCTTCTTTCCTTCTCTTTCTCCCTTTCTTCCCCTTTCTCTAAAAATAAGTAAATAAAATATTTTTAAAAAATTTGTATTTGATCATACCACTTACATACTTTTTTTTTAGATTTTATTTATTTATCTTTAGAGGGGAAGGGAAGGAGAGAGGGAGAGAAATATCAATGTATGTTTGCCTCTCGAGTGTCCCCTGCTGGGAATTGGCCTGCAACCCAGGCATGTGCCCTGACTGGGAATCGAACCACGGTTGTTTGGTTCGCAGGCCCGTGCTCAATCCACTGAGCTATACCAGCCAGGGCCACTTACATACCTTTGACAATGATGTTCATATTTGCTCTACATATTTATTTAGTGTGTAGTCAGAGCTTAATATGCATATACATTTGAGGACTATAGGTTGCTATATAGGAATGTGCAGATTAAAGTTTAGGAACTAATATTCTAATACTAGAAAATAATGGTCTGCTATGTTTCTTCCTTGGCATGAACAATCTCAAGGATTTTAATTTCTAAACCTAATCAAATTCTCTACCTGACTTGGAATTTTAGTGGTGCCCAGTTCTTATTCATGAAGTCTTTTATGGTGGCTTGTGGTACAATTGCTGCAAGAAATAAAAGTCTGTAAGATTAGTGATTTGATTCTCTTATCATAGATCCCTCCAGCACCACCAAGACCTGATTTTGATGCTTCAAGGGAAAAACTACAGAAACTTGGAGAAGGAGAAGGGTCCATGACAAAGGAGGAATTCACAAAGATGAAACAGGAACTGGAAGCGTATGTGATTTTTGTTGTTGCTTTTGTTAATTGTGCTTGTTTTATGCCTCCCCCTTTTTTTGCTCTCCAATGTCCCATCCTCTTAATCATTTCACCACAGTGACCCTTCCTGAAAGATGCAAATTTAAGTCGCACAACCAGTGTTAGTGATCATGATCAGAGCCTACAGGAAAATTATAGAATAATTGTCTTCATTGTAGAATTCTTAAAATTAACGTTTTAAATAGACTCTGAAAATTGGCAATGGAGGACTCAAAAGTTTATAAAAAATAGTAGAAAGGGAAATAATAGCTTTTTAAAGCAGAATAAACTGTTTTGTTTTTTATTTGCAAGGCCTTAGTGATTAGCAACCTGGTGATCTTCTCTCAGTGTGTGCATATGCATACTGCCAACACTTCTCTTTCTCATGGAAGTGTGTGATGAGCAACTCTGCATATACCCTGTTTTCTTTTTCTTTTATTTTAAGAGAGAGAAAGAGTGTGCATGTGTGTGTGTGTGTGAGAGAGAGAGAGAGAGAGAGAGAGAGAGAGACTGATTTCCCCCCTTTTTTCTTTCTCTAGCTTCTGGCTGAAGGGAAGAGAATAGATTTAAAATGTTTTTATTATATGATAATTAGTTGCATATATACTAGAAATGTATTAAATCTTTGAGTAGTTGAGACCATTCAATTTCATTTTTAGCATATTTGCTGAAAATACAGAATATTTCTCCCTTTTATTAAACATTTAATTTTGGAATTGCTGTATATTGCTTTTTTATATTTTGAGACTTATTCAAGGAAATAATTTTCCTTGCATTGTCATCACTCCCCTCACTCTTTTTCTGGTCATTTGTCCCCTTCACACTTTTTCTTTCTCCTCTTCCACTTAGTTTTAGTTTTTAAGCATATATTCACCCTGCTGCTAGACTCCTCTTCAGAATGCTAGACTCTCTTGACCAGATGAATTAGCAGAGTAGGTCTTCTTTGTCATAGAGTAAGGTGACAGATATTTTAAGAATCCTGTCAATGCTGGGTGCAAGCAGTAGTCTGATAGCACATATTTACTTTTATAGTTTGTGAGGCTGCAGATTAGCAGAGCACAATAATATTGAAGAATCTGTGGTTTTCCAGTGGCCCTGATCATGATTCTTTTGTGGTCTGGTTAGGGGTTGGATAACAGAGAACCTTGGGTTTATTCTACTGCTACCTCCATCCTCTGCATCCTTCTTTTTTGTCTTCACTGAATGACTACCCTCACAGAGATCAAACTTCTCCCAACATTGGTCCTGCTGGTTTGCTGGTATGTAAAACTTATCCTCCTTGCACGTAGTTGAAGCAAGAATATCGGGCCTTTCCCTTGAGTGGTGGTGGTGTTGTTTTTGTTTTCAAACTGACATGTATTACCGCAGGATCGCTGTGATTCACTGATATTAGAATATTCTAAGCACAGTGCTTTGATGTAATGGCAAAAATTAGTCTCTTCATGGTGTGTTTTTTTTTCTTGTGTTTCTGGGTCATTAGATGAAGATATTTATTACTGTTGAAAATATGCTTATTTAGGTTTGGGTTTTGATATTTTTTTATATGAAGGTATTTATAAGAAATTGAATCATTAAGGTTGTATCTAGCAATTTGTTGTATACTTTCTCTGAAGCTGAAATCAAACACCCCTGTAGTTACCTTTAAAATCAACTTACATAGAAAGGAAGATTCATAAAACCCAAAATATTAACCTTTAAATGTCATAAATACTATTAACTAGCATGAAGCCTTTTTCAGAGCTGGATTTTACATATTTTATTAACAGTCCAACTAAAACCTTTGTTTACCTGGATTATATTTTTGTATCTCTAATTTTGCATTTAGAATTCAGAGTATTTGCTGAAAATATTATTGCAGATGATTTCCTAGTTAATGTAGTGTTTTACCTTTAATCGTATGTATTGTTTCCAGTGAATATCTGGCCATATTCAAGAAGACTGTCGCAATGCATGAAGTGTTCCTGTGTCGCGTGGCAGCACATCCTATTTTGAGAAAAGATTTAAATTTTCATGTCTTCTTGGAATATAATCAAGATGTGAGTATTGAATTGATTAAAAGTACTATTTTAAAGAGTCATTGGAAAAGGCAGGGAGTAGTTAGAAAAGGCTTAAGGCTAAGGCCTTCTCTTACAATTTTCTTATTTTTTAAGGCAGTTTGAAATGATACTTTTTCAGTGGCAGCATATTATTTCAGTAGAACTTGAGTAGATTAAATGAAAAAATAACAGTACTCCATGTTACCACATGGGACATTGGTTTTCATCCTGAATTATGAACTTAAGAAGTAGGGTTAGCCCTGGCCCTGGCTGGTGTGACTCAGTGGATTGAGTGCCGGCCTGTGAACCGAATGGTTGCCTTTTGATTCCCAGTCAGGGCAGATCCCTGGGTTGTGGGCCAGGTCTCTAGTAGGGGGAATGTGAGAGGCAACCAATCAATGTATCTGTCACACATTGATGTTTCTCTATGCCTGCCCCTCTCTTCCCCTCTCTCTAAAAATAAATAAGTAAACTGTTTTTTTTAATATATTTTATTGATTATGCTATTATAGTTGTCCCATTTCCCCCCCTTCATTCCCCTCCACCCCCTCCCACCCACATTCCCCCCCTTTAGTTCATGTCCATGTGTCATAAGTTCTTTTATTTTTTTAAGATTTTATTTATTTGTCTCTAGAGGGGAAGGGAAAGAGAGAGGGAGAGAAACATCAATGTATGGTTGCCTCTCATCTTTCCCCTGATGGGAACTGGCCTGCAACTCAGGCATGAGCCCTAACTGGGAATAGAACTGCAATCCTTTGCTTCACAGGCCTGCGTTCAATCCACTGAGCTACACCAGCCAGAGTGCATCATAAGTTCCTTAGCTTCTACATTTCCCATACTATTCTTGCCCTCCCCCTATTTTCTACCTACTATTTATGCTATGTATTCTCTGTACCTTTTCCCTCTCTCTCCTCCTCCCACTCCCCTGTTGATAACCCTCCATGTTTGCTTAGTTTGTTTTTGTTTTAGGTGTGATTGTTAATAACTGTGAGTTTGCTATCTTTTTACTATTCATGTTTATCATTTTCTTAAGTAAGTCCCTTTAACATTTCATATAATAAGGGCTTAGTGATGATGAACTCCTTTAACTTGACCTTATCTGAGAAGCACTTTATCTGCCCTTCCACTCTAAATGAGAGCTTTGCTGGATAGAGCAATCTTGGATGTAGGTCCTTGCATTTCATGACTTGGAATACTTCTTTCCAGCCCCTTCTTGCTTATAAGGTGTCTTTTGAGAAATCAGCTGACAGTCTGATGGGAACTCCTTTGTAGGTGACTGTCCTCTTATCTCTCTCTTGCTGCTTCTAGAATTCTCTCCTTCATTTTAATCTTGGCTAATGTAATTATGATGTGCCTTGGTGTGTTCCTTCTTGAGTGCAATTTCTTTGGGACTCTCTGAGCTTCCTGGACTTCCTGGAAGTCTATTTCCTCTGCCAGATTGGGGAAGTTCTCCTTTATTATTTGTTCAAATAAGTTTTCCATTTGTTGCTCTTTCTCTTCCCCTTCTGGCACCACTGTAATTCAGATGTTGGAACATTTAACGATGTCCTGGAGGTTCCTAAGCCTCTCCTCACTTTTTCGAATTATTGTTTCTTTGTTCTTTTCTGTTTTGTTGTTTCTTTCTTCCTTCTGGTCCACTCCCTTGTTTTCTTTCCATCACTATTGGTTCCCTGTGCATTTTCCTTCATTTCATTTAGTGTAGCCTTCATTTTTTCATCTAATTTGTGACTAAAATCAACCAGTTCTGTGAGCATCCTGATCACCAGTGCTTTGAACTGTGCATCTGATAGGTTGGCTGTCTCTTGGTATTGGCTCTAAGGCTTTGATCTGTTCTTCCGTTTGAGCCTTTTTTTTTTTTTTTTTTGAGGGGGGAGGTCTGGTCCTACTTGTTATGTAGTGAGGGGTGGAGCCTTAGGTGTTCGCCAGGGCAGGGCAACCCAAGTTGCTGGGTTGTGACACTGTGTGTGGGGGTGGGGTCAGAGAGGGAACAGTGGCTCCTGTTCTGCTCTCTGTTGGATTTCAGTCCCTTCTGCCATTTCCCCCAAGCAAATTGGGCCCTTTTGGTGCTGATTCTTATGTGGGTGGGTTTGTGTACGTTCTGGGACCCTGTGGATCTCTCCAATGAACTCTCCTGTGAGGGTGAGAGTCTCTCCCGGCACCTCAACCCCCACAAGTGTTTTCAGTCAGTGTTCTTAGGCTTTATTTTCCAGGGCTGGGGTCCTCAGTTACATGGTCTGTCTCACTCCCCATTTTCGCCTGGTTTATCTGCATGTGAATATTGACCACAGTCAGCCAGCCACCTTGCGTGCCTCACTGGGTCTGCCCATTGCCTCCCCACGCCCACCAGCCACCACTTTTTCCTGCCTCAACCCCTCTCCACCAGCCACTGACTCCGCCCCTTTCACTGGTCTGGGTGAATGGTTGTCGGACATCCATACAGTTCGGTTTTCTGTCAGTTCTGGTGGGTTTTTTGTTTCTAAATTTTGGTTGTGCGAGGAGACACAGTGTGTCTACCTACACCTCCATCTTGACCGGAAGTGTAAATAAGTAAAATCTTTAAAAAAAAAAAAAAAAGGAAGAAGAAAAGAAAAGAAATAAGGTTAGCCCTGGCTGGTATGGCTCAGTGGATTGAGTGTTAGCCTGTGAATCAAAAGATTGCCAGTTTAATTCCCAGTCAGAGCATATGCCTGGGTTGCAGGCCAGGTCCCCAGTTGGAAGCATGTGAGAGGCAGCTGATTGGTGTGTCTCTCACACATCGATGTTTTTCTCCCTTCCCCACTGTCTAAATAAAAAAATTTTAATCTAAAAAAATAAAAGAAACAGGGTTATAGCCCTGACTGGATGGCTCAGTTCGTACATTAAAAGGTTACAGGTTCAATCCCCAGTCAGGGCAGGTATATGAGGAAACCAGTTGATGTTTGTGTCTCACACATTAATGTTTCTCTCTCTAAAATCAAGGAACATGTCCTCAGGTGAGGATTTTTTTAAAGGCAACATTAAAAAAAAGAAAGAAAGGGGGTTATAAAATTGATTAATGTTTCAGCTCTGGTTGGTGTGGCTCAGTGGATTGAGCATCAGCCTGTGAACCAAAGGGTCACTGGTTTGATTCCCAACAAGGTCACATTGCCTGGGTTGCAGGCCGGGTCCCCAGTTGAAGAGTGTTGGCCAGGTTGATGGAAACCCAGACATACTGCCAGCTTTCATCTATAGGGGAAGGGCTCAGCAAAGGAACAGTGGCTTCTACCAGTGCTTCTATCTGGGAGAAAGCTGTCCCTCCACTCTTGACCCAAAGCCAGACATTTTTAGTTCTTCCCTCTATGTTCTTGGTGCCTTGCAATGTGCTGCACCACCGGTGGAGCTCAAAGCCAATGAATAAGTCTGTGCATGGGCCCTTTAAGAGGAACACCTGGGACTCCAGAAGCCCTCTGTCTTATCCTCCATCTCTTCCAGTTTTTAGAGCCAGAAGTTACGGGGACTTCCTTTTGGGGCTGGAACTAATTGCTCCTCAGGGGTGCCTCTGTGGTCAAGATATCCCTCTCAATTTTTATCTACCCCATGGAAACAGTCCGTTTTGCATCTCAGTCCCTCCTGCCAGTCTCTACATGGCTTCTTTTGTATATCCTTAGTTATAGGGCTTCTCTTCTGCTAGACTTCAGGTAGTTCCCAATGATGGTTCTGTGTGTGTAATTTTGCAGTGATTATGGGAGAAGGTGAGTATAGTGTTTACTTGCTCTATTTTTCTTTCTTACAAACTAATATGTGATTAGTAAAGACGATGTTGATGCATTATAACAACCTTTTTAATATCAGTAAAAAGCCTTTTCAGGCTTTTTGGAGAAAGTCTGAAAAGATGGGCTGGAAAATTCTTTAACTAATAGCAAGTGTATTAGTAGGTTGTAGATTATAGGCTCCAAAATAAAAGGTTTTTCTAAATCTTGTTTCTTTTTTTTTTTTACATTTTTTATTGATTATGCCATTACATTTGTTCTATTCTCCCCCTCCTTTCCCCTCCACCCTGCACACCCCTCTCCCACCATTCCCCCCTTTAGTTCATGAACACGTGTCTCAAGTTCTTTAGATTCTGTATTTCCCCTACTATTCTTATCCTCTCCCCTCTCTATTTTCTATCTACTGTCTGTGCTACTTATTTTCTCTACCTTCTCCCTCCTTCTCCTCCCACTCCCCTGTTGCTAATCCTCCACGTGATCTTCATTTCTATGGTTCACTCCTGATCTAGCTGTCCTCTTAATTTGCTTTTGTTTTAGGTGTGGTTGTTGATAACTGTGAGTTTGCTATCCTTTCACTGTTCATCTTTTTTTATCTTCTTTTTCTTAGGTAAGTCCCTTTAACATTCTATATAATAAGGGCTTGGTGATGATGAACTCCTTGAATTTGATCTTATCTGAGAAGCACTTTATCTGCTCTTCCATTCTAAATGAAAACTTTGCTGGATAGATCAATCTTGGTTGTAGATCTTTGGTTTTCATGACTTGGAATACCTCTTTCCAGCCCCTTCTCACCTGGAAGATCTCTTTGGAGAAATCAGCTGACAGTCTGATGGGAACTCCTTTGTAGGTGACAGTCCCCGTATCTCTTGATGCTTCTAGTATTCTCTCCTTCATTTTAATCTTGGCTAATGTAATGATGATGTGCCTTGGTGTGTTTCTTCTTGGGTCCAACTTCTTTGGGACTCTTGGAGCTTCTTGGATTTCCTAGAGGTCTATTTCCTTTGCCAGAATGGGGAAGTTCTCTCTTATTATTTGTTCAAATAGGGTTTCCACTCGTGACTGTTCCTCTTCCCCTTCTGGTACCCCTATAATTTGAATGTTGGAACGTTTAAAGATGTCCTGGAGGTTCCTAAGCCTCTCCTCATTTTTTTGAATTCTTGTTTCTTCATTCTCTTCTGTTTGGTAATTTTTTTCCTTCCTTCTGGTCCACTCCTTTGATTTGAGTCCCAGTTTCCTTTCCATTACTGTTGGTTTCCTGTGCATTACCATTCATTTCAATTAGTTTAGCTTTCATATGTTTCTCTAATTTGTGACTATAATCAACCAGTTCTGTGAGCATCCTGATCACCAGTGTTTTGAACTGTGCATCTGAAAGTTTGGCTATTTCTTCATCACTTAGATTTATTGGCTCTGGGGCTCTGAGTTGTTCTTTAGCCTTTTTTGGTCTGTTTGTGCCCCTTAAGTATGAGGAGCGGAGCCTTAGTTGTTTACCAGGGCGGGGCCACTCAGGTCACTGGTTTGTGACGCTGTATGTGGGGGCCGGGTCAGAGAGGGAGCAATGGCGGTCCTCTCTGCTTGCCAGTCCGTCCCACCATCCCGGCCTGTTTATCTGAGCGGAAATGTTCAAGCCCGCGCCCTGCACCGTGAGGTCTCAATGCTCGCCTCTTCACTGGTTTATCTGCATGCAAATGCTCCACCTACCACAGACAGCCAGCCGCACCTCTTCCCTGTGTCCACCCGTAGCTAGCCCGCACCTGGGATCTGCGCCTTCGACTGCTTGCGCACCACCTGGTCGGGGATCTTTTTTGCCAACCTGCTCCGCTGCTGGCTTCACTCCTCTTACCGGTTTAGCTGAGCATTTCGTTGTCCTTGGACTCCGTATTGTTGATTTTCTGTGTGGTTTGGTTGTGTTTATTGTTGTTAAAACTTTGTTTTTAGATTTGGTTGTGCGCGGATGCAGGGTGTTTCCACCTTCGCCTCCATCTTGGTGGAAGTCCTAAATCTTGTTTCTAATACTGTTTCTCAGATCTTTATTCAGTTCAGTGGTGCTGGAAAAGAAATCTGTGCTGTTCTATTATCTGTGTTTCAGAGGGTCATGGGACTGATGAGCTGCTGAAGTAGAGCTAGGGTTTCTTGAAATCTAAAAAGGCATGGGGCATCTGTGAGGTCTGGGAAAACTTGTTTCAGCATTTACTTGTATGGGGAGTGGTCATTGTTATGAGGAATGGTTGCATGTAGGATTGCTTTGCTTATGTAGCTGTGCCTCTTCTGTTTCTAGTAGATACAGTTTTAGTCTACTTAATAAATAGTAGATTAAGTGTTTAACCTATTTAACATCCCAGCCTCCATTCCATTTTTGCTAACTCCTCAGTGGTCACACCCAGCACCTTGCCTTCTGAGTCCTTAAACCCTAATATTATGGATTCCAAACATAGCCTCTGTCCTATAGCTCTCTTTTTCCTTAAACCCATTATAGTTGTTCTTTGACCTCTCCTGCATTTTGACTTTGTCAACAACTCTTATGTCGTTACTTCTTTCTCACCTAGCCTAGAGTGCCTGCTCTATCGTTTATAACAAGATTATGACTTTTGACGCTCTTTCTCATTTTCCATGAAAGCTTATTTCAACTCAAAACAGTTCATCTTGATCAGATCCTCACCTTGTTCACTGGGAGTAGAAGCCAATCAGAAGTCAAATACCAGAAATTTTTTTAAGTATATTTTATTGATTATGCTGTTACAGTTGTCCCATGTTTTTTTCTCTTCTTTATTCCCCTCTGCCCTTCACCTCCCTTCCCACTAGCATTCCTCTCTCCCCCTTTAGTTCATTTCTGTGGGTCATACATAAGTTCTTTGGCTTCTCCATTTCCTGTACTATTCTTAACCTCCCCTTGTCTATTTTGTACCTACCATTATTCCCTGTACCTTCTTCCTTATTCTCCCCTCTTCCCAAATCTCTGATGTTTTTATACCCCCCACAACCCTCACCCACCTTGGCAGCCATACTCATTTTTTTGCACATTCTTTTTTTTTCCCCTTTACATCTTCCTTTCCAATCTGGATGTCCTTCATAATATTTCCTTTGTTTGCCTAACTACCCTGGGTGGAACATACAGTATAATGTTAAATAGAGGCAAGAGTAGACATCCTTGTTTTGTCTCTGATCTTAGGAGGGAAGTGTTCACTATTTCATTGTTAAGTGTGATGTTAGCTGTGGATTTTTCACAAATGTCCTTTATCAGGTTGAAGAAGCTCCCTTCTTTTCCTAGTTTATGAAATGCTTTTACCATGAAAAAAAAATAAAGCTATTGAGATGATCATGCGTGGTTTTTGTCCTTTATTCTATTAATATGATGTATTTCATTGTGCTTATTTTGACTAAGATGTTTTTCTAACTATGCTGGATCCCATGTCCTTCTGGATCTTTGGGATCTCGTCTGAGTTTTCCTCTTAGCTCTGTGGGTACTGCTCAGATAGCCATCCATTTGAGTCTGATGCTTTCAAGGTTCCTCATTGAGTTCTCAAGTATAGAGGTTCCTCTAGACTTCTAGGAACCTCTAGACTTCTGATTCCATAAATTATCCATGAGTATCTCATCTGCTCCCATGGCTTCAGATTCTCTACTGTGCTGTTAACGTATAAATCTGTATCACTCCTGAGTCCCAGCTCTATATATTAGACAGCCTCCTGAAAAGCTCCATTTAGATGTCCCCTTTGCATTTTACCCTTAGTTGAACTCTTCTTTAACCTATGCCTCCTTTTATGTTTTTTATTTCAAGGAAGGTACCGTCACCTCCCAGTTCCTTAAAACCTGAAAATTACACATGACTCTTCCTACTCCCTCTTTGTATTAGGAGTCACCAAATCACATCTGTGTTACTCCTTTACTGTATTAGGAATGTGTCCACTTCCTTCTTCCACCAGACCTAAAGATTAGTTCTGACTTTTATAGTCTTTATCTGGATTATTGAAGCTGCCCCTGACTGGTCGTTCAATCTTTAGTTGGTCTTTTCTTTCTTACTCCCTGAGTCTGTATTGAGTTCCTTGGGTGGTCCCCCTAGTGCGCTATGGATGCCTCTAACATTATACTGCTCACACTATATGTGTAATCCTATGTTTACTTCCCTGTATCCTCCTGTATACCATAAGTTACTTTAAGAACAGGGATCTCTTAAATATGTTTAGATACTTAGCACTTAGCATAATGCATGGCTGTAATATACAATGTAATGTACATTGGTTTGTTAAATGAGTAAATGAATGAATTAATATCCCCCCCAAAAATGCAGTTAAAAAGTAAATGTGCATTGGGAAGCCTGAAGATAGAGTAGTGAATTCTAATTTGGAAGGGTTACATGCAGAGATGCCTTTTAATTTGGATGTTTAAGTCTGGATAGCAGTTTTGGTGGGAGGGGAGGTACCATTTCAGGTACAGAGGAACCTAAAAGTTCAGAGGTTCTTTAGAGAACTGTTTGGAACGTAAGGTTCTGTGGGGGTAGGGTAGTGGGTGAAAAGCTAAGTTGAATCAGATTGTTGAAAATCTTGAATATCATACTTAAGGAGATTGGCTTTTATTTTCTGAACATTGTGAAACTGTTATTGAGTAAGGAAGAGATGCTCAAAATTTGATTGGAAAAGTATTCCAAAGCAGCAGAATGGATAGGATTGAGGTGAAGGATGTTGCTACTAGTCCCGTGTAGTAGTCTAGGCAAGAGATAATATGGACATTTACCAGGACAGTGGTAGTGTAAAGAGACAGATTTCAGCCATTTACTGGTAGAATTTGAACTATGAGAGAGAGGGATGAGTTGTAGATTATTTCAAGATTTTTAATGAGAGGTATGGGGTTTTAGGGAGTATGTAGGAGTGTGAGAGATTGGTTGGGTCCATGAATAGGGAACCAGGAAGAGGAAAACTTTGGAGTTTAGATGATAATGAGTACTGTTTTAGACTCACCAAAAGTGAGGTTAGCAGAATCTCCATGTAAGGATATGATATAGGCAATTGGCTCTAATGATCAGGAAAGAGCTTAGGGGTAGTAAGAGATTTGTGAGTTATTTACATAAAGGTGAGCGTTGAAGCCACACCAGCAGATGAGGAAATTAGAGAGGATAGTCCTTTATGGGACACCCTGATACAACAAATGGTAAAGTCAGAGTTAGCTGCTTCTCAGTTTTGCCTTTAGATAACCATTCATGCCACTCAAAGTCATGTTTTGTGTCCCTTGCACTAGAAGTTGCTGACACCAAAAACAGGACAGGAAATGATACTTGGATGAATTTAGAATGAAAAATTTGCAGAATATATTTTCAAAGCTTTTACAGAATCATAGGATGGTATATTGTAAATCAGTTCATTTTATGTTTAATGGAACTCCTGAGTGTTTTTTACATTAATGTAGTAGTGCTTGACAGAGTATGGTGAGAGGGCTACTTGCCACAGAATTATTATTAAATATACTTTCAAAATTTGAGATTCCTAGGCCTTATTGTAGATCAGCTAAATCTGAATTTTGGGGTGAGGGCAAACTTCTCTTTAATTCTCTAAAGTTTGAAAATCACTGATCTACATGATAAAATTGCTACTTTATCAAGTTTAAAAAACTGGGATTCTTTTGGGATTGCCGTTTTGCCATCATAGAATAGAGGAGACATAACTTCCCATTTGTAATTTTTTAAATGCTAACTTCTGTTTACCCTTCTTTTAGTTGAGTGTGCGAGGAAAAAATAAAAAAGAGAAACTTGAAGATTTCTTTAAAAACATGGTTAAATCAGCAGATGGAGTAATTGTTTCAGGAGTAAAGGTAAGATTTTATTTGATGAACAGGAGTATTGGTTTGAGAATTTACTCCTTTTGAGAGGAAGCTGGATTGATAGATGTACAGAAGGTTGTATTGGAGGAAAAGAGAAGGTTGGGCAGTAGAATCCTTAGGCCTGAGAAACTGGGCCCCCTGCTCCCGGCACACTGTTTAGAGAGTGCCCTTCTCCAAGGGTGAGAGATCCACAGGTCCAGTGGGATTTGGAGCTTCTTCCCTTCAAAGCAGACTGTGCTCCAGTTATCTAGAATACTGTATTTCCTTGGCCAAATCCCAAGCTTTCCTCCAGGCCTTACATGGGCTTTTTCCTTGAGTTCATCCTCTGGTGGGTAGACTGTGACACTGGTGTGTGCACTCCATGGGTGGTCAGGGGATGACCGTGGGACAGCTGGGTAGAGGAATGGCACAGGGAAGATCAGTGTACAGGATGGACTGTCCAGCTACATGCACGTGAGGTCTCTCTGGGTGCCCTGCAGAGCTGCAGGGTAGGGCCCAAACAGGGACTGCCTTCATTTGTACACTTGCTCTTGGCCTTACCAGTGTTAGGGGCGGACCTGGGTTCAGATTGGGAATTAGAAGAGCTAAGTTGAGGTTTTAGTCTTGTCTCATAGTAGTTATATGTCCTTGAGAAAAGTCTCTTTCTCTGAATCTTAGTTTTCCCATTTTCAAAATGTGGTTAATAATATCACGCGGCTCACAGGATTGTTGGAAAGATTGAATGAGATAATATGTGTGAAAATACTTCAAAGTTATTTACCTAAATAATCTAAATTTTTCTTAATGGTCTAATAATGGTACAAGACTTCACTTGTCTGAAGACTCTTATTAAAGTATAAGAGGAAAAGGCTTATATTATGTTTTCAAGCAATTACTTAGTGGGAATATAGTTTGTCATCGTTACCTGCTTTATAGATACATCGTCAATGAAACTTAGAAGTGAGGTACTGTTTATTTGATGTGTACTTTGATTTTTCAAGTACTTCAAGTACTATATACTTTGATTTTTCAGAGACAGGTCAGTGGACACACTGACTATGCATGTACTACGGCTACTTTATAACAAGAACTCAGCTTGCTTCCACTTTGATGCATATTATGCACATAATACTGAACATTTTCCTTAGCATTTACTGCAAACCACTGTATTGATTAGGATAATAAAGTAATAACTAGCATTTTTTTAACATTTACAGTGTGATATTTGGTAACCCACAATATTTTTATTTAATCTTCACTATAGTCCTGCAAGTTAGATAGTGTTACTTCCATTTATACAGTCAGGAAAACTGGTACACATGAATTACAGATTTAGATTTAGATTTAAATTAATTTTTCTTCTAGTGTTCTGTTGATTTGGGTTTTGAATTACATCATTTCAGCTGGTGCTTTTTCAATAAAGAATGGGCATTTTAGAAGGGAAGAAAGCATTGTTAATAATATTTATTTTTAATGTTTATCTCATTTTGGTTTTTTTTAAAAAGGTTGAAGACAGTGGTTGATACAATAATTGGTTGCAAATAGTTGCTTTGGCTAGGTTCCCCAAAGCAGTCAGGGTCCTAATGACCAGAGGCTTAGTGGCCTTCTGAAATGGCCCATTGTATACATGGGCCATAGTATACATAATAGACCAGGAGAAATAGACTTATTTGACTATCAGAATTTTTTTCTTAAAACCAGTTGGTCACTCCCACAGGCAGTCACGTATTTGGAGGTAGAGGCAGAGCATGAGTAGGAATGCGTTTCAGAGTACAACCTGTGAATATGAGCCTTAGGGGAGCTCTAAGCTCCAGTGGCAAAACCATAGAAGATTTATTACTTGACAGATAGAAATTCACATATGTTAAAAGTCTGAACTTGTTAGTGAAATCAGTATAACGTCTGATTATTAGAAGATAGCACTGCTGTTTTACTGATGATCTTTTATGATTATAATGATAACAAAATGGCTTACATATTACACTAAAGCAAATAAGTGAAAAGTTTGTATTTTCTTTTGATCGTATAGGATGTAGATGATTTCTTTGAGCATGAACGAACATTCCTTTTAGAATATCATAACCGAGTGAAGGATGCATCTGCTAAATCTGACAGGATGACAAGATCCCACAAAAGTAAGGTTTTTTCTTTACTTGTATTGGCTAAACTTGTATTTTTAATGGAATAATTACATATAAGGTTATTGTGTTGTTTACAGTTTGTAAAAAGTCTTGATATAGAGCAGCATTTCTTAAACTGTGGTCAATGAAGCCTTGACTTGAAAGCCCTTGCTAGCAAGTTTGTGAGGTCAAAACTGTTTTTATAATAATATTATGATGCCTTTGGCCCTTTTCACCATGTTAACATTTATACTCACAATGCAAAAGCCTTGATGAATAAAATTGCTGTTGCCTTAGCACAGATTAAGGCAGTGGCATCAAACTGTACTAACAGTCACTGTATTTCCCTCAGTGCATTTGCAGTTTAAAAAATGTTAAATTAAGAATGTCCTTGCTGAAGCAGTAAAAATTATTAACTGTAAAAAATCTTCCTTGAGTGTACTTTTTTATATTCTGAGTGATGAAATTTGGGTTACACATAAAGCATTTTAGTGATTGAGTTGAAACTGAGCTAGCTACTTTTTTCATAAAACATTCTTTTTACTTAAAAGAGTGGCTGACAGGCTATGATTATTCAGATTTCAGTATTTGGTAGACATTTTCTTAAAAATTCACTAAGTGAGCATGTAACTTTAAGTGACAATGTTTGTTGCAGTCATAGAAGCCAGGCTCTTCAGTAGTTATCATGAGCTTGCTTCCTAATAATTAAAGACTTGTCTGAAACTAATGATACTATTAGTGACAAATCATCAAGTGCATGATATCATAAAATTGTGTATTTAAATGATCCATTCAAAATGCAAAATGGGCTAATTTTTTTAAGTAGCTTTATACTGTACACTTGATACAGTATACAATAAGATACAATGTTCAAAGTATACATTTTGATAAGTTTTTTAAAAATTTATTTAATTTTGATAAGTTTTGACTTGACATATGTATGAAATCACTACAGTCAAATGAACATCTCTATCACCACCAAAAGTGTCCTTTGGGTCCCTTTGTAATACCTCTCTTCCCACCCGTGTCTCCAGGCCGCCATGGATCTGCTTTTTGCCTCTATAGATTAGTTTGTATTTCAAGTGGAATGAGAATCTGTACACTTTATTGTCTGGCTTTGAAATTCAATACAGTTATTTTTAAATTCATCCATGTTGTGTGTATCAGTAGTTCATTGCTTTGTATTGCAGAATGGTATTCTGTCATATGGATATACCATGATAGTTTATCCTGATTCAGCTGTTGATGGACATTTCAGTTGTTGCTAGCTTTTGGCTTTTATGAATAAAGCTGACATGAGCCATTTTATTAAGTCTTTGTATAGATACAAGCTTTCATTTCTCTTCTATAATATTGATACCTAGAAGTAGAATGGCTGGGTCATGTGGTAGGTGTATAACTTTTAAAAAACTTGTCAAACTTTTTTCCAGAATGATTGTACCATTTTACATTCCTACCAGCTTCGCATTAGAGTTGTTCTTCATCCTTGTTAACAAGGACAATCAATCTTTTTGAATTTTAGCTAATAGGTCAGTAGTGGTCTATTTTCTTTTCTTAAAGATTTCATTTATTTATTTTTAGAGAGGCAGGAAGGGAGGGAGAAAGAAACAGAGAGAAACATTGATGTGAGAGATACATCAGTTGGTTGTCTCTCACACATCCCCAACCAGGGACCCAATGGGCAACCCAGGTATGTGCCCTGACCAGAAATCAAACCCACAACCTTTTTGGTTTGTAGGCCAGCATTCAATCCACTGAACCATACCAGGCAGGGCCATTTGCATACAGAGTTTAGGATCAGCTTGTCACTTTGTACAGAAATTCCTGCTGGGGTTATGATTGAAATTGTATAGAATCTGTAGATCATTTTGGGAGAGATTGACATTTTTAAGTTGATCTTCCATACATGAATATGGCATACACTCCATTTTGTTAGGTTTTTAAATTCTCCCAACAGTGTTTTGTGTTTTGCACTGTGCAGATCTTTAGTTAGAGTGATTCCTAATTATTTTTGATGCTTTGTAAATGATGGCTTTCTTTTTTCATTCTTTTTTCTTTTTAAAAAAATATGTTTTATTATGCTATTACAGTTGTCCCATTTCCCCCCTTCATTTCCCTCCACTCTGCACACTCTCCCCCACCCTCATTCCCCGCCTTTAGTTCATGTCCATGTGTCTTAAGTTCTTTAGCTTTTACATTTCCCATACTATTCTTGCCCTATCTCTGTCTATTTTCTATCTAACATCTATGCTACTTATTCTCTGTACCTTTTCCCCCCTCTCCTCCTCCCACTCCCCTGTTGCTACCCCTCCATGTGATCTCCATTTCTGTGGTTCTGTTCCTGTTCTAGTTGTTTGCTTAGTTTATTTTTGTTTTTGTTTTAGGTGTGGTGGTTAATAATTGTGAGTTGCTGTCATTTTACTGTACATGTTTTTTATCTTCTTTTTCTTAGATAAGTTCCTTTAACATTGCATAAAATAAGGGCTGGGTGATGCCCTGGCTGGCATAGCTCAGTGGATTGAGCGCGGGCCTGCGAACCAAAAGATAGCGGTTCGATTCCCAGTCAGGGCACATGCCTGGCTGGGAAGGCCAGTTCCCAGCAGGGAAAGCACGAGAAGCAAACATACATTGCTATTTCTCTTCCTCTCTCCTTCCCTTCCCTTCTAAAGATAAATAAGCAAAATTTAAAATAAATCAATCTAATTAATTAATTAAAATGTTTTTAAAAAATAAGGGCTGGGTGATGATAAACTCCTTGAACTTGACCTTATCTGAGAAGCACTTCATCTGCCCTTCCATTCTAAATGAAAGTTTTGCTGGATAGAGCAATCTTAGATGTAGGTCTTTGGATTTCATGACTTGGAATACTTCTTTTCAGCCTCTTCTTGCCTGTAAGGTCTCTTTTGAGAAATCAGCTGACAGTCTGATGGGAATTCCTTTGTATATGACTGTCCCCTTATCTCTTGCTGCTTTTTAGGATTCTCTTTTTCATTTTAATCTTGGGTAATGTAATTATGATGTGCCTTGGTGTGTTCCTTCTTGGGTACAACTTCTTTGGGACTCTTCAAGCTTCTTGGATTTCCTGGAAGTTTATTGCCTTTGCCAGATTGGGGGAGCTCTCTTTTATTATTTGTTCAAATAAGTTTTTCACTCATGGCTGTTCCTCTTCCCCTCTGGTACCCCTATAATTTGGATGTTGGAATGTTTAAAGATGTCCTGGAGATTCCTAAACCTCTCATTTTTAATTTTTTTTAATAATATATTTTATTGATTATGCCATTAGAGTTGTTCTATTCCCCCCTTCATTCCCCTCCACCCTGCACATCCCTCCCCCACCATTCTCCTTCTTTAGTTTATGACCACGTGTCTCAAGTTCTTTAGATTCTATATTTCCCCTACTATTCTTGTCCTTCCCCCTATCTATTTTCTACCTACCGTCTATGCTACTTATTTTCTGTACCTTCTCCCCCCTTCTCCTTCTCCCACCCCCCTCTTGCTAACCCACCATATGATCTTCATTTCTATGGTTCTGCTCCTGATCTAGCTGTCCTCTTAGTTTGCTTTTGTTTTAGGTGTGGTTGTTACTAACTGTGAGTTTGCTGTCCTTTCACTGTTCATCTTTTTTTATCTTCTTTTTCTTAGATAAGTCCCTCTAACATTTCATATAATAATGGCTTGGTGATGATGAACTCCTTGAATTTGATCTTATCTGAGAAGCACTTTATCTGCCCTTCCATTCTAAATGAAAGCTTTGCTGGATAGAGCAATCTTGGTTGTAGGTCTTTGGATTTCATGACTTGGAACATTTCTTTCCAGCCCCTTCTTGCCTGTAAGGTCTGTTTTGAGAAATCAGCTGACAATCTGATGGGAACTCCTTTGTAGGTGACAGTCCCCTTATCTTTTGCTGCTTCTAGGATTCTCTCCTTCATTTTAATCTTGGCTAATGTAATGATGATGTGCCTTGGTGTGTTCCTTCTTGGGTCCCACTTTTTTGGGAGTCTGTGCTGCCTAGATTTCCTGGAATTCTATTGCTTTTGCCAGGTTGGGGAAGTTCTCTTTTATTATTTGGTCAAATAAGTTTTCCACATGTCACTCTTCTTCTTCCCCTTCTGGTACCCCTATAATTTGGCTGTTGGAACGTTTAAAGATGTCCTGGTGGTTCCTAAGCCTCTCCTCATTTTTTTGAATTCTTGTTTCTTCATTCTTTTCTGTTTGGTTGTTTCTTTCTTCCTTCTGGTCCACTCCATTGATTTGAGTCCCAGTTTCCTTTCCATCACTATTGGTTTCCTTTCCATCACTATTGGTTTCCTGTGCATTTCCCTTCATTTCAATTAATTTAGCCTTCATTTGTTCCTGTAATTTGTGACTAAAATCAACCAGTGATAGGTTGGCAATTTCTTGGTCTCTTACAGTTATCGGCTCTGGGGCTTTGAGTTCTTCTTGAGCCATATTTTGGTCTGTTCGCACCTGTTACGTATGAGGAGGGGAGCCTTAGGTGTTCACCAGGGCGGGGCCACCCAGGTCACTAGGTTGTGACGCTGTATGTGGGGGTGGGGTCTAAGAGGGGCAGTGGTGGTCCCCTCTGCTGCTTCCCGCCGCTGGGGCCTGCGCAGTTCGTCTTACTGCTAGCTCTGTCGCTGGTTTATCTGCGCACCAATGTGTGACCGTTGTCAGCCTGCCACCTTGCGCCCTCACTCGGTCTGCCCACTGCCACCCTACACCTGGGATCCACCCACAGCTGCCTGCTTGCCTGGGTCGGGAGATCTTTCCTGCGAGACCCTATTCGGCCAGTCGCTTGCTCTGCCCCTCTTACTGGTCTGGCTGAACAGTTGTTGTCGGACTTCTGTATAGTTCAGTTTTCTGTGGTTTGGCTGTGTTTTTGTTGCTAAAACTGTTGTTTTTAAACTTGGTTGTGCAAGAAGGCACAGTGTTTCCACCTACGCCTCCATCTTGGCAGAAGTCCCAGCTCCTCATTTTTTTGAATTCTTGTTTCTTCATTCTTTTCTGTTTGGCCATTTTTTCTTCCTTCTTATCCATTCAATTGATTTGAGTCTCAGTTTCCTTTCCATCACCATTGGTTTCCTGTGCATTTCCCTTCATTTCAATTAGTTTAGCCTTCATTTGTTCCTCTAATTTGTGACTAAAATCAACCAGTTCTGTGAACATCCTGATCACCAGTGTTTTGAACTGTGCATCTGAAAGGTTGACTATCTCTTGGTCACTTAGAATTATTGGCTCTGGAGCTTTGAGTTGTTCTTGAGCCATAATGTTTTGGTCTGTTCGCACCTGTTATGTATGAGGGGCGGAGCCTGAGGTATTCACCATGGCCATGGACCCAGGTCCCTGGGTTGTGAGGCTGTATGTGGGGGCGAAGTCAGAGAGGGGCAATGGCACTTACTCCACGCTCTCTCTCAGATTTTGGTCTCCTCTGCTGCTTCCCACAAGCAAATTGGGCCCTTCTGGTGCTGGTTCCCGGGTGTGTGGGCTTGTGCACCCTCCAGGGCCCTGTGGGCCTCTCCAACGAACTCTCTGTGAGCCTGGGAGCCTCTCCCAGCACCTTGACCCCAAAAGTCTTTCCAGTTGGTGCTTTCAGGCTCTAATTCCCTTTGCTGGGGCCCTGGCCTGAGTGGTCTGTCTCACTGCTCGCTCCTTCACTTGGTTTATCTGCGTTCGAATGTGTGACCGCAGTCAGCCAGCCACCTCGTGCCATCACTGGGTCCACCCATTGCCACCCCATGCCTGGGATCCGCCAACCGCTACTTGAGCTCCTGGGTTGGCCTTGATCTTTCCTGCCCGACCCCTCTCCGCCGCTGACTCCGCCCCTTTTACCAGTCTGGCTGAATGGTTCGTTGTTGTTGGACTTCCATATAGTTCAAGTTTCTGTGTTTTGGCTGCGTTTTCGTTACTAAAACTTTGTTGTCTTTGAACTTGGTTGTGCGAGGAGGCACAGTGTTTCCGCCTACACCTCCATCTTGGCCAGAAGTCCCTATTTTTTTATTTTACTTTTTTATATCATTGTGATTTGAATGTTTCTGCTGATGAAGTAGTAATTTTATACTTGCCTGTTTAATTATTACAAGCTATAAACTAAGTATGGGAAACTCGAATCTCTTTCTAGATTCATTACTGATTTTTTTTGGAGCCTTGGACAAGTCACATAATTGGTCTTGTGTTAGTTTCCTTATTTCTTAAAATGACATTAAGGTGCCTTGAGTGGTGTGGCTCAGTTGGTTGGGTGTTGTCCTGCAAGGCAAAAGGTAACCAGTGAGACTGCCTGCTGGGACAGGCAATACTGGGCTGTGGCCGGTCCCTGGTCAGGGCACATACAAAAGGCAACAGATTGATGTTTCTCTCAATGTTTCACATTGCTATTTCTCTCACTCTCTTCATCCCTCCTTTCCCCTCTCTACAAATAAGTAAATAAGTAAGTAAGTAAGTATATAAATAAATAAAATTGTTTTAAAAAATTACCTTAAGTATAAAATACTTCTTACTCCTCTGTTAAGAAAAACCATTCCAGCCCTGGCTGGTGTAGCTGAGTGGATTGAGCACTGACATGTGTACCAAGGGGTTGCCAGTTCAATTCCCAGTCAGGACATATGCCTGGGTTGTGGGCCAGGTCCCCAATAGAGGGCATACGGGGAGTAGCCACACATTGATGTTTCTTTCCCTCTCCTCTCTCTGAAAATAAATAAATAAAATCTTTGAAAAAAATAAAAAGAAAAACTATCGCAGCTAATCCATTAGGACCTGCGCTTACTTCCCCCACACAGTGAACTTACACAGCACACCTTGTGGGCTCCATCTGCACCCTTCTTGCCTTCCTGAGAAACCCACATAACCAGGCCCCAGCCCCAACTCATGAGCATCCCTTTTCCCCCAAAACAAAAACACTTTGTAAATGTGAAATGTTTGTATTAATATTGAGTATATTTATTATGACTACCCTTAAGTTTAGATAGAAAATGGGATCCTACTATTTAATTCTTTTTAAGATTTTATTTATTTATTTTTAGAGAGAGGGGAAGGGAGAAAGAGAGGGAGAGAAACATGGATGTATGAGATGCTTGAATTGGTTGCCTCTCACACACCCCCTGCTGGGGACCTGGCCTGCAACCCAGGCATGTGCCTTGACTGGGAATCAAACCAGTGACCCTTTGATTCACAGGCAAGCACTCAGTCCATTGAGCCTCACCAACCAGGGCTAAAAGTTTCTTCATAAAAGATCAGTTTTACCCTTACCAATTTAATATACTTTGTATAATATGAGAAAATATAATGTAAAGATTACTGTTTCATTAGGGAATAAATACATTAAAGTCTTATAATAATACTGCTAATATAGGGGGGAATTTTACTTTAGAAATGTCTTGAATTCATTAATTAGCACTGTACTTACTATGTGCTGGGTATATAGTAACATTTATTAACTTATTTAATTCTCCAAATAATAATATGAGGTGAGTACCATTATTATCCTGATTTCCAGGTGAGAAAACTGATGCACAGACAGGTTAAGTGATATATATGCCTTAGATCATATGGCTGGTGAGTTGGGAAGCTGGGTTTGGGTTCTAGGCAGTTTGGTTCCAGGTCCATGCTCTTAACCATTGCACTATTCTATGTTTTCTCTGAACCAAATAAACATATCAGTTACAATCTTTTCTCAATAAGTGCATTGTCCTTTAGGGCAAGCCCTAGGAAGTGTTATGCTAAAGTTTAGTACTTTGCTTCTAGTACCCAAGGGTAATAGTGCCACCATTTATCTAGCTTCCCAAGGTCCACAATTTCCCCTCCTACATCAGGTCTACTGTTTGTAGATCCTGCCTGTTACATTTCCTAAATATCTTTCAGCTTTATTAGTTCGTCTGTGCGCTTACTGGTTCCACTGTCTTGATCCTGGCCTTCCGTGCCTGACACAGCAGTTTCCTAGTTGCAGTATATTTTTTTAATATAAAATCTTTACCAGGATCGTTATTTAGTCTTTTGGCTTAGATCAAGTATAGTGTCTGTTCTTATAACCTTGATTTTACTACTACTATGATCGTAAGGTGTTTAATAACACCCATGTCTACAAGGTCAGATTTAAACTTTATCATGGCTTACAAAAACCTTTTTTCTTCAAGATGCTTCCAGTTTATTTTTTCATCTTCAAGTCCATCTGTTCCTACTGTACCCCTCAGTGACATAGTCCCAGAAGGCTCTCTGAATGTAGTATGCTCTTTTATAACTACTTCCTTGGCCTTGATCCATGCTCTTCCCTTTATCCAAAATGCTCTCCCTTCCACATTACCTGGTAAAGATTTGCTCGTTCTACAAGCTCAAACTCATTCCTTAGTGTCTATAAATCCTTTCCTGACTTAGGTGAAATCATGTTTCCTTTGCATCTAAAGTAGTTTGTACTTATTTCTAATATAATATTCATCATATTTTTGGTTTTTTTATCATTTCCTTAACTAGATTTAAGGTATACCATACTACTTACACATTGGCAGGTAAGTCTCAGTATTTTTCAATCAATGAATAAGTATATTAAATTCTTTAAACTTTTTCCATAGGTGCTGCAGATGATTACAATAGAATTGGTTCTTCATTATATGCTTTAGGAACTCAGGATTCTACAGATATATGCAAGTAAGGATTCTAATTTTTTTTTAAATAGTAAATATAAAATAAAACAAACTTTGTTGGCAGCCTGGGCACACAATAAATACTCAAGACCTAGTGGACATTTTGGAATAATTTTTGTCAAAACACAAAGAGCTTCTTTATATACCTAGGTCCATGACAATTTTTCCCTTCCCTTTCTCTTGCAGTAGACCTTAATATATATATTTTTAACCTTTACAAAGTTTTATTTGATGATAATGTGTCAGGGTGTGTGTATTTAAGAGATAGAGGATGAGACAGGATTTATGTCAGAGTTACCAATTTGTACTTTTTTACGAGGCTGGCTATTCTAGCTTTTATAGCTCAGTGAATGTTAGAGCAGTCGGGTGGATGAGGAAGCTGTTCTGCATATTAGTGTGAAACGCTCTCTGGAAGTTCATTTACACAGCTCTCCTTTATTTACTTTGTGCTAGTTTTTCACTTTAGTATTCAGTTGCTCCTATAATATTGTTTAAACCCAACTCTTCACTGAAGAATAATTCACTTATTTTTGAAAGATTTATTTACTTTATTTTTAGAGGAGAAGGGAGGGAGAAAGAGAGGAAGGGAAAGAAATACCAATGTGTGAGAGAAACATTGATTGCTTGCCTCTCACGTGTGCCTCAACTGGGGACCTGGCCCACAACCCAGGCAGGTGCCCTGACTGGGAATCGAACCCAGTAACCTTTTAGCTTTGTGGGATGACGTACAACCAACTGAGCCACATGGGTCAGGGCTAATTCGCTTTTTTTAAATGTTAAGTGGAAAAACTTTTCGTGCCTTTCTCTAAGTTCATGCCTTTCTCTAAACCACGTCCTTGAACTTTTCTCTAGTATATCCTCTCAGTGGATGTATAAGATCCAAGTTTTTCAGCAAAGCAAAGCACCATGGCTTACACTAATTAACACACTGCCTTACCAAAGAATTAGTTCTTAATTTTTTGATAAGAAAAAAAGGTCAACCTTGCTCTGTGTTATCTGACTTGACCCTGTTAAAGCAAGTTCTTTTTAGTAAAGTGAAGTTCATAAAATTGTGCGTTCGGTTTCAGTCGTATTTGCCTTAATCCAATTATAATGTCATCTATAATTAACATATTTTACAGATATTCTTTAGTAGTTTGGCTTTGGGATGCATATAGTTGGTTGTCAGCACTGGAGACACAGGCTATTTAGTTAAAAGTGAAAGTGAATTCTGAGATAAATTGGTTATTGATTTCTGTTATTTACCAAAACAAAGAAGCCCTATTTAAAAATGTTTAAAACATAACCATCAGATAGCTTCAAAAACTGCTCCAACTTGTGTTTTCCTTATAAATCAGTGTTTAAAAATTTTTTTTTAGTCCTCAACCAAGGAAGGACACTTCTTGCTGTCAGTGGGGAGGAGAATTTTGAAAGTATAGGCTTTATTTAGTATTAATGTGGCATATTACTAAAGAATATCAAGATGAAAATTTTAGGTTTTAATGCATAACTTAGGCTGTTATCTTGAAATGGGCATTTTTTCTGTAATAGCAGATTTCAAATCATTTGTTATGGGTGGAAGTACAGAGATATTTTTGTTAAACTAAATGAAGTAAGCGAGGCCATTAAATATTATTGTAATAAGACAAGAATGCTCATTATTCATATAGTTGGGTCATTATGTATCATCTGAATGTTTGAAATGAAAAATTATTTAAAGGTAGCTTCTGATGAAATATTTTTCTCTTCCAGGTTTTTTCTCAAAGTTTCAGAACTGTTTGATAAAACGAGAGTAAGTACTATTAACCTTTGATCATCTAAATCTCTGCATACAGTCGTGTTTAACTTGTTTAGCTTTATTGAGGAAGATGAGTTACACATCAAAAGGATGAAGAAACACTTAAATTTGAGAATGTGAGAGTTTTTTAAGAAATTCAGGTTTTGTAACAGCCTTTTGGTATTTATGTGGATATTTATATTCTTGATCATAAAACATGTTCATTATGGAGACTAGATTTATTTTTATGAAGAATAATCCTTTCCTGGGGCTTTGTAAGTGAGAAAAAAGTCTTAGATTCATCATAACTGTACCAAGACTGTATTGCTTTTGATCCCCCTTGGTACACTGGGTTAAACATGAGTTGTATCAAGTATACAACTGCAAAAGGTTTCATTCATAGTAATAATAATTTAATACTGAATAATCTTGGTTCATAGGGATCAGTCTTTTTTTAAATAATTCATATTATTTTTTTGTTTTTAGAGAGAGGGAGAGAAACATCGATGTGAGAGAAAAGCATCGATTGGTTGCCTCTCCTACGTACCCTGACCAGGGACTGAACCCACAACCCAGACACGCACCCTGACTGGGGGTTGTTGAACTGGTGAACTTTTTTTGCTTTGCAGGATGATGCCCAACCAACTGAGCCACACCAGTCAGGACTCCAGGATCAGTCTTAGATACAATAATAGTTAACGTTTTTATAATTTGAAGAATAATGAAAATGTTTCTAGATGTTTAATGGTGGTTAGCTGAGAGTGGTAGTATCTAGTTTATTCTAAAAATCTGATTTCAACATGATCTTTTCAATTGAGTGATAATGTGGTAGAGACAAGTAAAAGAAAAGAAGATATTCTCCCAAAGGAAAAAGTCCTTAAATATATACATGTTGTTATACTGGGGTCCAGATAGTCCATTATTCTGCCTTTGATATTTGTACCAATGAGCATTTTATGGGCAGTTAGAGGGTTTTTATGTGTGTGTTTACATCATAAGAATAGGGATATGTATCAAAATAGCCTTTTGTGTCAGTTCTTTTAGAAACATGTCAAGATGGGACTAGATGTGCAAATTTATTGTGGGCAGCAGAGAGGAAAGAGCAGGAAGAGCCCTCAGACCACAGTGAAGGTCCACTCCTGTGAAAGAAGGGGGCAGAGGAAACAGGACTAGGTAGGAAGAGTTTCAGACTGTAGCATAGTTCTGAGAAAGTTTTGTTCAGGTCAAAGGGGGAGTCTTTGAGCCAGAGTTGCCCATTAGAGGAATTCCTGCACCAGGCAGGAATGGGCTGGTGCTACTGCTTTATCCTTGCCTGGGTACAGTTAAGACAAAAAGGGGAGGATGGAACATAGCTGTGGTGTGAACATGATTTCTGGATTCAGAAAAGTTGCAGTTGGGAGTATCAGCAACTATGTTTCTTGCAGCAAGCAGCTTCTCCTGAACAAGCTCTGAGTGGCACATTTCCATGGCTACCACAATCCTTATTTCCTTTAGAGTTTGCATGTTGTTCTGGTTATTTTTGCTGTGTAACAAAGCAGCCTAAAAGTCAGTAGCTTAAAACAACAGCCATTTTTTATGCTAATGAATTCTTTGGGTCAGGAATTCAGAATGGGTACATCAGTGATGGCTTGCCTCTGCTCTGTGATGACCTCAGTAGGGAAGATAATAAGGCTGGGTGCTGGAATCATCTGAAAGCTCTTCCACTCATGTCTGGGGTTGATACTGGCTGTCAGTTGGGACTTCTGCTAGGCCTGTTGGCTGTAACATCTATACCTGGCTTTTCCAGAGTTGTTTAGATTTCTTTATAACATGGTGGCTGGGTTCCAAAAGTGAGCATCCCAGAAGATTGGAAGTGGAAGCTGCTAGTTTTGTAAGGCCTATGCCTCGAACCTTGGCACAGCATCCTTTTGTATTGGTCAAACAGCCTCAGAGCCCAGATTCAAGGGGAGGGACACATACCCTACTTCTTAATGTAAAGAGAAGAGCTATATTAAAAGTATGTAATCTAAATTTATCTAAACTGATTTAGCTACATCACTCTTGAGTATATATGGGGGGGCTCCCCCCAAAAAACAATTCTATTCTAGGGAGCAGGCCCAATGTAGTACATACAAGTTTCCCCTGCTAGATGAGTGAGTGTTCTGGGAACCCATCTGTATCAGTGTACGAGCTGGTGGTGTTGTAAAAGGCTGAGTTTGATTTCAGTGAAATTTTATTGAAGACTCTTTCAAAGTGTGCCCACTTCATGATTTATGAGCACACCTGCCCATATCACACGGAGTGTTCAGCAGTTTTTGACCCAAAATGGCATGATCCCTGTACCCCACCCTCCCTGTTTATTCAGTCTTGCCCCAAGCAACTTTTAGTTGTTGTTTCCTGGGATGAAAAAAGTCCTTAAAGGGAAACATTTTGCCAATGTTGAAGAGGTAAAACAAAAATACAGCAAAAGCAATGAGTTCAAGGCATCAAAATCAATGAGTTCAAAAACTGTTTTGAGCAGTGGAGGAAAACGTCTCAATAGAAGTAATGTATCAGATGGACAATACTTTAAAGGTTACTGAAGTTTAATCATGTAAGAATAAATATACAATTTTTATAGGTAAATGCCGGGGGTTTTTGGAGTCCCCCTTTGTACTTTGTGTTTATGCTTTTATCTGTTAGGTTAAAAAGTTCCATAAGTTTATTTCTCCATAAAGTAATATTTTTAGAAGCTTCAAATTTTTATATTGAAGTATACTATACATGTAGGAAAGATCATCTATTAGAAGTATACTTCTCAGTGAAACTTTATATTACCTATGTAATGAACAGCCAAACCAAAAAAGAGAACATTGCCCTGGCCAGCGTGGCTCAGTTGGGTGGAGTGTCGTCCCGTACACCAGGAGGTAACCAGTTCAGTTCTTGCTCAGAGGGCATAACTAGGTTGCAAGTTCCATCCATGGTTAGGGCACATACAGGAGGCAACTGACCAATATCTATCTTTCTCTCTCTCTCTCCCCCCATTCTTCTGCCTAAAAATCAATAAACCTGTTTTCGAATGGGAAAAAGTAAAATATACACCTTCTCAATGACTTTACTCCTACAGCTGAATACACCAAATTAAATCACATAAAATTTTTAAAAAGGGGAAAAAAGCGAACTTGCCAACAACTCAGATGCCCTGTCCCCTGCTCCAGCTGCCTTCTGAGTTACCACCTCCTGTAAGGCTAACTACTATCCTAGCTTCTAACAGCATAGATTAATTTTATTTTCATATTTTATATAAATGCATTATGCAGTTTACATTTGCTTATGTCTGGTTTCATTATGTACATAAGATTTACCCTTGTTGTTATGTGTAGGTATATTTTCTTCATTCTTATTACTATATAGTATCCCATTGCAGGAATATACCTAAATTTATCTGTTCTTTTGGTAGAGATTTCTAGTTAGGAGCTCTTTACAAATGGTATTGCTAAGACCATTGTTGTATATCTTTAGTTGAACATAAATGTATATTTCTGTTGGGTGTGCGTAACTAGAAGGGGAATTAGTGGGTCATAGTTATTATTTATAACTTTGATTTTCTTACTGTAATTAAGAAAATACTGAGTGTAGAATGTAAATGATAATTAAATGCCCAATTTTTGCCTTTTTCAGAAAATAGAAGCAAGAGTGTCTGCTGATGAGGACCTCAAACTTTCTGACCTTTTAAAATATTACTTAAGAGAATCTCAAGCTGCTAAGGTAACTGTATTGTTCATTGTTGGGGTTTTTCTCTTTTTTATTGAATTTATTGTGGTGACATTGGTTAATAAAATTACATAGGTTTCAGATATATAGTTCTATAACACATCATCTGTATATTGTATTGTGTGTTCGCCACCCCAAGTCAACTCCTCCTTCCATCACCGTTTAACCTTTCTATGCCCTCGTTTACCTCCCACCAATCCCCCATTTTCCTCTAGTAATAAGTATACTGTTCTCTTTGTCTGTGATATGTTTTTGTTGGTTTGTTTTGCTTAGTTCCTTCACCTTTTTTACCCAACAGCACAACACCCCTCCCCTCTGACACCTGTCAGTCTGTTCTGTATCTGTGAGTGTATTTGTTTTGTTTGTTAGCTTGTTTTGTTAATTAGATTCTATATACGAATGAAATCAAGTGGTACTTGTCTTTCTCTGACTGGATTGTTTCACTTAGTATAATATTCTTCAGGTCCATCCATGCTGCTGCAAAAGGAAACATTTCTGTCTTTTTTTTTTTTTTTCAACCAAGTAGTATTACATTGTGTAAATATACCACAGCTTTTTTTTTCTTTTTAAAAAAATTTTATTGGATTTATAGGAGTGATATTAGTTAATAAAATTATAAAGGTTTCAGGTGTACAGTTCTATAGAGTTACATCATTCTTAATGGTTTGCATAGTTTTCCATTTATATCAGAGCACCATAGTTTATTTAACCAATCCCTTATTAATAGGTTTTAAAATTATTTCCAGTTGTCTTTTTTTATGTACCAAATGTTTAATTGGCATTTTATTATCTTTTTTAAAAAATATATTTTATTGATTATGCCATTACAGTTGTTCTATTCCCCCCTTCATTCCCCTCCACCCTGCACACCCCTTTCCCACCATTCCCCCTTTAGTTTGTGACCACATGTCTCAAGTTCTTTAAATTCTATATTCCCCCTACTATTCTTGCCCTCCTCCCTATTTTCTACCTACCGTCTATGCTACTTATTTTCTGTACCTTCTCCCCCCTTCTCCTTCTCCCACTCCCCTGTTGCTAACCCTCCATGTGATCTTCATTTCTATGGTTCTGCTCCTGATCTAGCTGTCGTCTTAGTTTGCTTTTGTTTTAGGTGTGGTTCTTAATAACTGTGAGTTTGCTGTCCTTTTACTGTTCATCTTTCTTATCTTCTTTTTCTTAGGTAAGTCCCTTTAACATTTCATATAACAAGGGCTTAGTGTTGATGAACTCCTTGAATTTGATCTTATCTGAGAAGCACTTCAGATAAAGTGCTTCTAAGATAAGGTAAAGTTAAAGGAGTTCACCATCAACAAGCCCCTATTATATGAAATGTTAAAGGGACTTATCTCAGGAAAAGAAGAAAATTAAAACTATTAACAGTAAAAGGACAACAGACTTACAACTATCAACAACTGAACCTAAAAAAAACCAAAAACAAGAACAAACTAAGCAAACAACCAGAACAAGAACCACAGAAATGGAGATCACATGGAGGATTATAGGCAGGTAATGGAAGTGGGAGGCGGGGGGAAGTTACAGAGAATAAGTAGCATAGAGAATAGACAGAGAGAGGTTAAGAATAATGTAGGAAATGCAGAAACCAAAGAACTTATATGTACAGCCCATGGACTTGAACTAAAGGAGGGGAATGCAGGTGGGAGGGGGTGTGCAGGGTGGAGGGGGGTAAAAGGGATGGAAATGGAACAACTGTAACAGCATAATCAATAAAATATATTTTAAAAAAAAGAAGGACTTTATCTGCCCTTCCATTCTAAATGAAAGCTTTGCTGGTAGATCAATCTTGGATGTAGGTCTTTGGATTTCATGACTTGGAATACTTCTTTCCAGCCCCTTCTTGCCTGGAAGGTCTCTTGAGAAATCCACTGACAGTCTGATGGGAACTCCTTTGTAAGTGACTGTCCCCTTATCTCTTGCTGCTTCTAGGATTGTCTCCTCCATTTTAATCTTGGCTAATGTAATGATGATGTGCCTTGGTGTGTTCCTTCTTGGGTCCAACTTCTTTGGGACTCTCTGAGCTTCCTGGATTTCCTGGAAGTCTATTTCCTTTGCCAGATTAGGGAAGTTCTCCTTTATTATTTAATCAAATAAGTTTTCCACATGTCACTTTTCTTCTTCCCCTTCCGGTACCCCTATAATTTGGCTGGTGGAACGTTTAAAGATGTCCTGAAGGTTCCTAAGCCTCTCATTTTTTTTGAATTCTTGTTTCTTCATTCTTTTCTGTTTGGTCATTTTTTTCCTCCTTCTGGTCCACTCCTTTGATTTGAGTCCCAGTTTCCTTTCCATTACTATTGGTTTCCTGTGTATTTCCTTTCATTTCAATTAGTTTAGCCTTCATATGTTCCTCTAATTTGTGACTAAAATCAACCAGTTCTGTGAGCATCCTGATCACCAGTGTTTTGAACTGTGCATCTGAAAGTTTGGCTATTTCTTCATTGCTTAGATTTATTGGCTCTGGGGCTCTGAGTTGTTCTTGAGCCATGTTTTGATCTGTTTATGCCTGTTAGGTATGAAGAGTGGAGCCTTAGTTGTTCACCAGGGCAGGGCCACCAAGGTTGCTGATTTGTGACGCTGTATGTGGGGGCGTGGTCAGAGAGGGGCCACCCAGGTCACTGGTTTGTAATGCTGTATGTGGGGGTGGGGTCAGAGAGGGACAATGGCAGTTCCCTCTGCTGCTTCCCGCTGCTGTGGCCTGCACCGTCCGTCTCACTGCTTGCTCCTTCACCGGTTTATCTGTGCGCAAATGTGTGACCGTGATCCGTCCTCAGTGGGTCCACCCGCTTCTCCACACCTGGGATCCGCCCACAGCTGGTGGCGCATCTGGGTTGCGTGCCTGGGTCAGTCTGGTGGATCATTCCTGCCTGACCCCGCTCTGCTGCTGGCTCTGCTGCTGACTCTGCCCCTCTTACCAGTTTGACTGAAGGGTTCATTGTTGTCAGACTTCCATGTAGTTCAATTTTCTGTGGTTTGGCTGTGTTTTTGTTGCTAAAACTTTGTTATTTTTAAACTTAGTTGTGGGAGGAGGCACAGTGCTTCCACCTACGCCTCCATCTTGGCGGAAGCCCCCTAAATCCACATTTTTTATAACCACAAGAAAGAATTGAAACTTAATTGTAAGAATTAAAACTACAATGAGGTATCACTATACACCTTAATTAGAATGGCTAAAATGAAAAAAATTCTTCTAAAAAATTATAGCAGCTGGAACTTTTACACACTATTAGTGGAAATATGATACAGTACTTTGGAAAAGTGTCACCGTTTCTTTAAAAATTAAACATAGACTGCCCTGTGATCTAGTCATTCTCATTTAGGTATTTGAAAGCACATGTCTTTACAGATGTTAACATCAGCTTTATTTGTAATAGCTGAAAACTGGCAAAAACAGCCCCAAAATTCACCAGGAGGTGAGTGGATAAATAAATTGGGGTATAGCCATATAATTGAATGTAACTCAGCAGTAAAAAGTAATGAACTACTTACTCATACAAGCAACAACATGGATGAATCTCAAAAGACTGTGAAAGAAGTCAAACAACAAAGAACATAGTTTATACTAGAGTTCACTCTTAGTGTTGTACATTCTATGTGTTTTGACAAATGTGTGACAGCACTTATCTACCATTTTAAGTATTATACAGAATAATTTCACTGCCCTAAAAATCCTCTGTACTCCAGTCTATTCATTCTCCTTCCCCCTGACTCTTGTCTTTTTTTAAATTGTCTTCATAGTTTTGTCTTTTCCAGAATGTCATATAGTTTGGCCTTTCTAGATTGCCCTTTTTTCACTTAGTCATATGCATTTAAGTTTCCTCTATGTCTTTTCATGGCTTAATAACTCATTTATTTCTAGCACTGAATAATATTCCATTGCCTGGATTTACCAAGTTTATTTATCCACTGACCTAGTGAAGGACATCTTGGTTGCTTCCAGGTTTTGGCAATTATGAATAAAGCTGCCATAAATGTTCATGTGCAGGTTTGAGGGTACACATAAAATTTCAACTGTTGAATAAATACCAAGGAACACAGTTGCTAGCTCATATGGAAAGTGTGTTTAGTTCTGCCAAACCATTTTCCAAAATGGCTCTACTATTTTGCATTTCCACTAGCAATGAACGATTGTTCCTGTTGCTTCACATTCTTGTCAGTGTGTTGTTGCTGTTGTGTATTTTGGCAGTTCTAACAGATGTGTGATTTTTGTTTGTCTTAACTGATTTTAGAGAAACATCGATTTGTTGTTCCACTTATTTATGCATTCATTGGTTGATCCTTGTATATGCCCTAACTAGGGATAGAACGCACAACTTTGTTGTTATCAGGACAACACTCTAACCAACTGAGCTACCCAGTATCTCATTGTTTTAGTTTTCATTGGTCTGATGACATACGATGTAAATGAAGTGTCTTTTCACATATTTACCATTTATGTATCTTCTTCTGTGAAATGTCTGTTTTAAAAAATTGGCCCTTAACAGGGGAGTGGGAGGAGAAGAAGGGGGGAGAAGGTACAGAGAGTAAGTAGCATAGACAGCAGGTAGAAAATAGACAGGAGGAGGGCAAGAATAGTATGGGAAATATAGAATCTAAACTCGAGACACATGGTCATAAACTAAAGGGGGGGAATGGTGGGGAAGGGCTGTGCAGGGTGGAGGGGGATGAAGGGGGAAATAAAACAACTGTAGTGGCATAATTAATAAAATATATTTAAAATAAATAAAGTAAAAAAATGGCCCTTAGCTAGTCCATTTTTTAATTGAGTTTATTCCCTATTATTGAGTTGTAAGAGTTCTTTGTAGCAATCCTTTATCAGATACATCTTTTGTAAATATTTTGTCTTTGTTCTGTGACTTGTCTTCTCATCCTCTTGACAGTGTCTTTTGCATAGTGGAAAATTTTAATTTTAATGAAGTTCACCTTATCAATTACATCTTTCATAGATATGTCATTGGTGTTACGTCTAAAAAGTCATCACTAACCCTGGCTGGTGTGGCTCAATGGATTGAGTGTAACCTGCAGACCAGAGGGTCACTGGTTCAATTCCCTGTCAGGGCACATGCCTGGGTTGTGGCTGGTCCAGGTCGAGGGATGTGGGAAAGGTGACCACACATCAATATTTCTCTTACTCTCTTTCTTTTTAAAATATTTTATTTATTTACCTTTAGAGAGGGGAAGGGAAGAAGAGAAGTAGAGAAATATCAATGTATGGCTGCCTCTCATGAGTCCCCTGCTGGGAACTGGCCTGCAACCTAGGCATGTGCCCTGACTAGGAATCGAACCGCGATCGTGTGGTTCGCAGGCCCGCGCTCAGTCCACTGAGCTACACCAGCCAGGGCTCTCTCTTACTCTCTTTCTTTTCCCTCCCTCTAAAAAATAAATTAAATCTTTAAAAATAAATTTTAAAAAGTCATCACCAAACCCAGGGTCACTTGGATTTTTTCCTGTTATCTTCTGGGTTATAGTTTTGTTTTTTTATATGTAGGTCTGTAATTTAAGTTAATTTTTGTATATGAATGTCCAGTTTTCCCAAGTTAATTTTTGTATATGAATGTCCAGTTTTCCCAGCACAATTTGTTGAAAAGACTAGCTTTTCTCCATTGTATTGCCTTTGCTCCTTTATAGTCAGCAAAGATCAGTTGACTATATTTTTGTGGGTGCAGTTCTGGGCTCTGTTCTGTTCTGTTGATCTATTTGTCTACTTTTTTCCACCACCACACTGTTTACATTATTGTAGCTTTATAGTAAGGCTTCAAGAAGGTAGTGTGAGTCATCTGATTTGTCTGCTCCCTCAGTATTGTTGGTCATTCTGTGTCCTTTGCCTCTCCACATAAACTTAGAATCCTTTTGTTGATATCCACATAAAAAGTTTCCAGCTATTACAAATATAGCTGCTGTGAATCTGTAACTCAAGTTGGAAAGAACTGATTTTGACAATATTGAGTCTCCCTGTCTATCCACCTGGAATAATTCTCCATTTATTTTTTTATTTGAATGTTTGTATTAATTTTACAGAGAAAAATCAATTGCATTCCTCAGGTGATTCTTGTATGTGCCCTGACCAGGATCAAACCCACAACCTTGGCTCATTGGAATGATGCTCTAACCAACAGAGCCGCCTGACCCCGGCCTCGCCACTTACTTAGTTCTGTGATCTCTCTGATCAGTTTTGTAGTTTTCCTTATATAGATTTTGTATATATTTTGTTAGATCAATACTTAAGTATTTCATTTTCTAGAGTACTAATGGTATTTTTTTATTTCCAGTTTTACTGGTTCTTTGCTGGAATATAAGAAATCAGTTGACTTGTATATTTTGTTATATCCTTACAGCCTCATTATTCTCATTCATTAATACAGGAGTTTCTTGAGATTTTTTTCTGCTTTCTTTTTTTTAAATATTTTTTATTTTATTGATTATGCCATTACATTTGTTCTATTTCCGCCCCTCCATTCCCCTCCAACCCTGCACACCTCTCCCCCACCATTCTCCCCCCTTTAGTTCATGAACATGTGTCTCAAGCTCTTTAGATTCTGTATTTCCCATACTATTCTTACCCTCCCCGCTATCTATTTTCTATCTACTGTCTGTGCTACTTATTTTCTATACCTTCTCCCCCCTTCTCCTCCCACTCCCCTGTTGCTGACCCTCCATGTGATCTTCATTTCTATGGTTCATTCCTGATGTAGCTGTCCTCTTAATTTGCTTTTGTTTTAGGTGTGGTTGTTAATAACTGTGAGTTTTTTCTGCTTTCTATATAAACAGTCGTCATCTGTGAACAAAGATGGCTTTATTTCTTTCTTCTTAATCTGTATATGTCTTATTTCATTTTCCTTTTGCATTAGCTAGGACTTCCAATACAGTGTTGAGAAGGAATGGTGATATGGAACATCCTTATCTTCTTAATGTTAGTGGGAAAGCTTATCATTTCTCCCCACTATGTGTGATGTTAGCTGTAGGTATTTTGTAGATGTTCTTTATCAAGTTGAAGTTTCTTCTGTTCCTAGTTTGCTGAGACAGTCAATTGATTGTTGACAAGGACACTAAGACAGTTTAGTGGAGAAAAGGAAAGACTTTCATCAAGTGGTATTGGGACAACTGAATAGTCATGTGAGAAAGAATAAAATTGGACTTTTTCCTTCCATCGTTTATAAAAATGTATTGAAAATGGACCAGAGACATAAATGTAAGACTTAAAACTAATATTTTTTAATATTTTTATTTATTGATTCATGAAAGAGACAGACAGACATCAATCTGCCATTCCACCCATGCACTTATCCATTGGTTGCTCCTTGTGTATGCCCTGACCAGAGATCAAACCTGCATCCTTGGAGTATCAGAGCGCTGCTGTAACCTACTGAGCTACCTGGCCAAGGACCAAAGCTATATTTTAAAATAAATGCATAAACATAAATTTCTGTGACCTTCAATTAGGTATTGGTTTCTTAGATATGATACCTGAAGGGCAGCCAAGAAAAAATAATAAACTCTAAGACTTTATTAAAGTTAAAAATTTGTGTGTGGCAAAGAACACTATCAAGAAAAGTAAAAGTGCTCAGTGGACTGAGCACCAGCCTGCAAACCGAAGGTCACCAGTTTAATTCCTAATCAGAGCACATGCCAGGGTTGCTGGCCAGGTCCCCAGTTGGTGAAGAGCAAGAGGAAACTGATGTTTCTCTTGCATGTTGATGTTCTCTTCCTCTTTCTCCGTCCCTTCCCATCTCTCTAAAAATAACTCTTTTAAAAAATAAAATGAAATTGATTGTAGTGATGGTTAAACAACTCTGTGAACATCCTAAAAACCAGTGAATTGTGCACTTTGAATGAGTGAGCTATATGGTATGTAAATTATAACCCAATAAAGCTGTTATTAAAAAAAAAAAGCATAAGAGTAATTGGCTTGCGAATTTATCCCTGAGGACATTTAGGTGGTGCTGGTGGCAGCAGAGGCAGTAGTAGTGGCGGTGGTGGCGGTGGTGGTGGTGGTAATTGAGTGTAACTACCAGAAATGTGCAGCATATATTATTGTGAAGTATTTTGTTCTATAGGATCTCCTCTATCGAAGATCTAGGTCACTAGTGGATTATGAAAATGCTAATAAAGCACTGGATAAAGCAAGAGCAAAAAATAAAGACGTTCTACAAGCTGAAATGTCCCAGCAATTATGTTGTCAGAAATTTGAAAAAATATCAGAATCTGCAAAACAAGGTACTGTTATATTAACCTTTAATAAGGTATGCATTGTACTACTGGTATGTAAATTAAATAGTTAATCCTAATTTCTTTCATTCACAGAACTCATAGATTTTAAGACGAGAAGAGTTGCGGCATTCAGAAAAAATTTAGTGGAACTAGCAGAGTTAGAACTGAAGCATGCAAAGGTAATGTCATATCAAAGGTTTAATAATTTCAGGAACTTATAATTTAGAAATGAGTCAGTTATGAAATTGATTCCAGGGGATGATACCATCTATAAGAACTATTCCTGGATTGAAATTACATTTTCTAAGATTGTTTTACTCCTTAAAAATACTTGGTTTTACTTAAAAAAAAATCCTCTTACGGTACTTTTTATAGTAGTTGTTCATACTTGAATTAAGCCCTTTCTTGTAGTTAATATAAAGGTTGGCCCAAACTTTATGGGAATTTTTTAAATAAAAAAATCTTAGAATTGAGAGGAATTTTAAAAACTACCTAATTCAAACAAGAATCTTTTTTGTCAGTTACCCATATTTATTTATTGTGTATGTACATCAGGAGGCTTACTTTATTGTGTGACATAGAAAAATATGGAAAAAATGAAGAACACTAAGAATGATATCTGTAATGTCTCTGATGGTCACCTCTGCAAGCTTCTAGTATCTGCTATGGGAACAAATACCACTTCCTTTTCTTTTTTATTTATTTACTTTTAGAGAGAGGGGAAGGGAAGGAGAAAGGGAGAGAAACATCTATGTGTGGTTGCCTCTTGCACGCCCCCTACTGGGGACCTGGCCTGCAACCCAAAGTATTAAATTTAAATAAACTTTTAATTTTTATATATTTATAGCATTTACACTTCTCAAGTTATTAAAGCTTAAACAAAAATCTACATCTCTGTAATATTAACGTATTTGTCAATTTTGTTATGGGAAATAAAAGGGTTTTTAAAAACATTTTATTTATTTATTTTTTTAGACAAAGGGGAAAGGAGAGGGAGAGAAACATCAGTGTGTGGTTGCTTCTCACTGTCCCCACCCCAACCAGGGACCTGGCCTGCAACCAGGCACGCACCCCAACTGGGAATTGAACCGGCGACCCTGTGTTTTGCAGGCTGGTGCTCAGTTCATTAAGCCACACCAGCCAGGGCAAAAATAAGTTTTTATCCCCCTTTTACAGTTTACTCTTCAGATACATAAATACTTTATATTACCTGTACATCCTCTTTCCTGCAGGATAGACATCCTTGGACTAAATATTTTCCTTCCCATAAGCCTCAACGAGCTTTTTATAATATTATTACCCTGCTGTCATTGCTTACTTATTTATTTATTTATTTATTTATAGATTTTATTTATTTACCTTTAGAGAGGGGGGAAGGGAGGGAGACAAACATTGATGTGCCAGAGAAACATCGATTGATTGCCCCTTGCACACACCTAACTGGGGACCTGACCCACGACCTAGGCATGTGCCTTGACTAGGAATCAAACCAGTGCTCTTTCAGTTTGTGGACGACACCCAGCATGCTGAGCCACACCAGTAGGAGTCAGTCATTGCTCTTTTAAAACATTGTGCCCAGAAGTGAAAATGCTTTTCTTTCTTCCTTCCTTTCTTTTTTAAGATTTCATTTATTTATCTTTAGAGGGGAAGGGAAGGAGAGAGGGAGAGAAACATCCATGTATGGTTGCCTCTTGTGCATCCCCTGCTGGGAACTGGCCTGCAACCCAGGCATGTGCCCTGACTGGGAATCGAACCACAATCCTTTGATTTGTAGGCCTGTGCCCAGTCCACTGAGCTACACCAGCTAGGGCTGAAAATGCCATTCTGTATACAGACTGATTATTGTATACATTTCTTTTTTGTTTTTGTTTCTATAAGCATTTATTTGAACCAAACTGAGGACAGTGTCAGGAAGCAAGATCTCAAGTGCTCATGTTGTACAGCATGTTTTGCATGCATGAGATAGTGGGAATTTTACCTGTCATATTGTGCCTGGTTGAGTTTTGGCTTATAATCACACCTTTTTTGTTTGTTTTCTTATGGGTCACTCTTGAACCTCCAATCTGCAGTGGTATGTGTAAATATTTTTAGTAATTTTTTTTTTCATTTTTATGGTAAATACAAAATTTACCATGTTAACCATTTTTTAATTTTTTTTATTGATTTCTTTAGAGAGAGGGGAAAGGAACAGGGAGAAAGAGAGAGAAACATCAGTTTGTTGTTCCATTTATTTGTGCATTCACTGGTTGATTCTTATATGTGTACTGACCAGGGATTGAATTGCAACTTTGGTTTACTGGGAAGATGCCCTAGCCATGGCATTAACTATTCTTAAGTGTACTGTCCAGTGCTGTTCAGTACATTTACATTGTGCAAAAGATCTCTAGAACTTTTTTATTTACTGAGCAATTTATCAGCTCTATTTATAGTTGTTACATTTTAGATAGGTAGTTTTAGCCCAGAGCATTCATATCTTTTAAAAATAAGATTTGATCAGCCCTGGCTGGTGTAGCTCAATGGATTGAGCGCAGGCTGTGAACTAAGAGGTCGCCAGTTCAATTCCCAGTCAGGGCACATGCCTGGGTTGCGGGCCAGGTCCCCAGTGGGGGCCACATGAAAGGCAACCCCACACTGATGTTTCTCTCCCCCTGTTTCTCCCTCCCTTCCCCTCTCTAAAATAAATAAAATCTTTTAAAAAAATAGAAATAGGATTTGATCATATAGCATTTACTATTATACTAGTTACTTGTACAGAGTGGTAGACATTTGTAATTTTATGTCTTTATCAAAACTTTTTGAAAGAGTTTATTTTCAGAGGGGAGGGGAGGTAGAGAGGGAAGAGGGAAAGAAACATCAGTCGGTTCCCTCTTGCATGGCCTAAACCAGGGACCTGGACCACGACCACAGCCTAGGCATGCGACCTGACTAGGAATTGAACCGGCTGCCTCTCAGTTTGCAGGACAACACCCAACCCACTGAGCCATACCAGTCAAGGCCAAATTTTAATTTAAAAGAATGATCCAGGACCAAAGGGATCAATATTCATTAATCTAATTATAAAAGTACATGGCACCAAAAATGGCTAAATTTTTAGTTCTCTTTCTTTTGTACTAATTGGCATTAACTTATTAAACAATGTTGTTGGGGTTTTTTAGATTATTTTTATTTATTTATCTTTAGAGGGGAAGGGAAGGAGAGAAGGAGAAGATATCAATGTACAGTTGCCACTCATTGGTCCCCTACTGGGAACTGGCCTGCAACCCAGGCATGTGCCCTGACTGCGAATTGAGCTGCGATCCTTTGGTTCAGAGGCCTGCATTCAATCCACGGGGCTACACCAGCCGGGGCTGGTATTATTAATTAATATTCTTTGGTTATAGTTTTGTTTGTTTTGGGAAGGGCACAATTCAACCCACTATAGGCATAGAGGAAATGAATACATTATTATGTCGATATAAGAACATCCAAACCTATAGAGAAGTTTTCCAACAGTTTATATGAGCCAAAACTAATGATATATGTATACTGAGGAGCAAGATCCTAAATGTTTCTGGTTACAGTTATTTAAATAGTTATGAATTCACCTGTTTATAGTATAGTATCATCAACTATCATCTCTTGATTTTATCCAAGAAAGTTTTAAGAAGTACCAAATTTCTCATTAAAATCAAGGTATATATTATCTGGTTTCTTGGTCTAATAATGCTATCAAAAGAAAATGTTTAGGCTTCTGGCCAAGAAGGACACGTAGGTAGAAACACTTTGCCTTCTCTCACAACCAAAAGAAGGACAACAACAAATTTAAAAACAAATAACCAAAACTGCCAGACAGTCAAACTGTTTGCAAGTCTGACAACCAAGGAATTAAAGAAGAAACATCCATCCAGACAGGTAGGAGCAGAGACAGGCAGCCCAGGTGGAGAGGACTTGCGGCAAGGCGGTGGCTAGTGGACTGGATTGTCCCACATTTGCGTGCAGATAAACTGGGAGGAACAACTAGGAAGGGAGGATAGACCATGCAAACTAGGGTTCCAATGTGGGGAAATAAAGCTTCAAAACCTCTGGCTGTAAAAATCTGCGGGGAGTGCAGTGACAGGAGAAACATCCAGCCTCACAGGAGAGTTCGTTGAAGAGAACCACAGGGTCCTAGAACATACACAAGCCTACCCACCTGGGAATCTATTCCAGAAGGGCCCATTGTGCTTGTGGGTAGCAAGAGAAGTGACTGAAAGCTAACCAAGAGTTGATCAAGCAGCATTTTCCCCTCTGAGACTCCTCTCCCACAGTCAGTGCCACATTGCAGCCACATGGGTTGCCCCGCCCTGGTGAATACCTAATGCTCCACCCCTTACAACATGTCAGGTGCACCAAGACAAAGAAATATGACCCAAATGAAAGAAGAGATCAAAGCTACAAAAAATAGAACTGGGATGAAGAGACAGCCAACTATCGGATTAAGAATTCAAAACACTGGTAATCAGGATAGTCACAGAAATGGTTGAGTTGGTGACAAAATAGAGGAAGAAGTGAAGGCTATGCAAAGGCAAATTAGGAAAAATAACAGG